GTGTAAAATATAAGATAATCAGCTGTGGAAACATTATCGAAGACTAATGGGAATAGGATGTCTCTGCTGATACACATAAACATATTTCAACGCTGTTTGGAGTCAGACGAGCATGGTACCCATCAGATAGTGGCCATCCTGTCACCATAATACAGGTTATTAAACTGGGTGGAAACTGCCAGATACACAGTTTTCACTGTCCCAATTTAACAACTATTTAATCAACAAAATAACACTTTAGAAGATCCCGCCTATATTTATTCACAAGTTACAGTCAGTTTCACTACCTTGAGTACCCTGGGGTTCTGCAGAGCTATCTCCGAGTGCGTCTGTTGCAAGGAACCCATCCACAAACACTCTGGATATCCCCTGAACCCAAAAACAAGCTGACGAGATGCTTATACTTCGGCACAAACACATCGTACCATATGGATTAGGGAAGCCTCTTCCAGATCAAGCTGCGATATATAGTGAAGAATTCCCTTCTGACCTGTTTATTGCATCTGTCTACAGTCATCGTGAATGTCTGCTCCCTAGAGTCATATGGCAGTGTACATCTTCAAGTGGATGGTGAGGAACTGTATGATAGACCACGCAAAGTTTTGTGAGAGAGAACTAGGTAATGGCTGAAAACCCTTAGTTCGGTAGTCGAATAAATTACATAAACAGGGCAACCTCTTAGGTTCACTATAAGGTATACTTCATTTGGATTGCCACACCAGAAGTGCAATACCCTGTCATGACACTGGATCCATTGACGTCGAGTCCATGTGGGAGTTTCATGTACTTTTGATAATTTAGTTGTCGCAGCCAATATAGGGAGACACAAACCAACCTGAAACTCTCACCAATTGGCAGGGACACGCGAGCACGAAACCAGCAAGGAATGCAGCTGGATAGCCAGGAGCAGCGGTACATGTGTCGCATTATGCATATATAAGATGAGCTAGTTAATTAGTCAGAGGTTCGTGACATGGTAACTTGATGAGCAACTTGATTTTTTGACCACCTACTTCTAGCTTAACAAGTGAGTAAAAATAACGGCTGTCAGCATCAGTGTTCAGCACCTTAAGCTTTGGGGAATTGTATGTCTCAACATCTAGCTTGCTATCAATGGTATCCAGACGTCGAAACATTCACATTTGTTTGGTCACAGCGCTTTCCCGTTTCTTGGCCCACAGTAGTTTCGCCGGGGTGTTTCGTGGCTGTTAACTCACTCTAGATGCGGGATCAATGTCATCAGAAGTACTTTATATCTCGGCAACAGCATTAATTTATAGACATTTTAGTGAACGCTGATCATTTATATTGTGACGTTTTGATTATCTGCACAAATAAACGTTAGCTGCAGGTACACCAGCTGTTCCCCCGCGTTGTTCCGACCCTTGGCGTTCAATAATACCATTCTGAAGTTCCGCAACAATTTTATTCACTTTGGAGGACGTTCGCTCCATTGACACTAACTTCCAGTTGGTTCGTTGGGATACTAAGGTAGTGCCACCCAGAACTATAACTTCGGTGGATTCTCCTTTCTGTTGGCCTGCCTATTGGCTTGCTGCGTGATATAGGCTCTTGCTCTGTCTATCTATGCTGCGCTGTTGGCACGCGCCATGATACGGCCAGAGCAGTGAACAGTGGTATCTGAAGTAAAAACATAAGTCTTAAGTCTTCTCATGAAAGTTCAGCGCAACGAAACGACGAAATGGGTCAACTAGGAACATAAACGGAACCCGAAAAGGAAGGTAACAATCTTGAAAAGTAACCCACTATGGATGAGAGAGTACTATTTACCGATAAAAGGGACATAAGGATCCGACTGCATTATGAAAAACGTATTTAAGAGGAGAAAAGCAGAAAACGATCCATAGTTATGCACGAATTCTTGTTAAGACGTTCTCGTACCTTGAGGCAAACTGAGTTTGGTGAGGGATTCTTTTAACAATACAAGAGGTCGAAGTGCGGAGACATAATTGGGTGTATCACCAGTGTCTCAAGATTATAGAATCTTCCACAAACCAGTTACTTAGAGGAGAAGTGGCACTGCTTTCGACTGCCATCGTAAGAATAAGCTCGTTTCAGATGGTGATGCTCATTTCATCATAAAAACTCCTTTCATTGACAACATGAAAGCTTTGTGCCCCTTGGCAACCTTAAATGACTCATATCCGTGTAACCTAAATGGTTAATAAATGGCATAGCGATGCGCGGGAAAGTGACCCCAGTAATCGCCTGGCTTAACGCACTACGTTTTTCGACTAAGTGGCGGTCTATCGAAACTGGATGTATAAGCTGAGTGTGGGACGAAATGACTGCATGATCAAACAATAGATCGGTGGACTTCTGTCAAAGTACAGCCGTCGCCAACATTCTCTGTATCCCAAAGGCCGCCCGGATCAGAAGTAGTGACCTGTCCCACCGGGAGACAGTTAGGGCCAAAGTGCAGTTTGAAACCGTTGACTGAACCATTCTACCATATCATTTGCCTGCAGATGGTGAACTGCCGTTTGAAACCAACTGCGACCTTAAAGTGCAGTTAAACCATGAGCTAACCTACACTCATATTCAAGGGCAAGTGATGAGTAAGATAGGCAACCGAAGTCTGATGTCCATCTTCCGAAAAAAATGAGCGATAGTTTAGAAAGTATAATCCCTATTCGGCGCTACTTCTTGGCTATCGCGTTTAGACGCCCGCATCAGCGACAAGACCAAATTGACTGACAGGTATTATTCAAGATCCCTTCATAACACAAAATACGTTTTCCGTGGCAGTGAGCCCTTGATAAATGAACACATTAGACACGCAAGTATGCTAGCGGCTTATCCACTGTACACGCTGCAGGCTATGCTTTATCGTGAATTGACAGTAATACAAAGGTGTGCAGCATCGGATTTCGACCCGTTGGCGGAATGATAAGAAGTTTCCTGCAAAACTTGAATTCCCAGAGTTCCAGCTCTGGCAGGATCACGGGGAGGCAGCACTTTAGAGTCCTTTATTAGGATGAAACAGCAATCTAATCCTGTCAGATATCCAGTGGTCCTCCAAATGATGTCACTCCGTGACGAAAACCACGCTTCTTTCCTGGATGCCTACCTTGGTGCGAAGCTTTATCACTCTATCGAATGTCAGTCTCAGATGTTTAGTTTGCACTGCCCTGTCGGGACTCACGATGATGCAGTTACTAATGCGAGCGTTGACATAACCCAAGCCACAGAGGATGTTTCTTGCAAGGCGCTATGATACGTGTGCCGAACTACAAAGACCTAGGGACGTATGCAGAAACTCAACCAGTCCACAAGGCGTAACAGTAGCCATTTACTGGATGCCCTCTGCCCACATCAGTGGCTGAATGTGTTTCGTCAAGGACACTTGGGGAAAAGTCCAGCCTCCCAAAGTCGTAGTTAGGTTATTAATTCACAGCATCGGGTTGCAGTCTTGGGTGTTTTATGGCTGGGCCTTTGGGTGCCTATTATTGCCAACCCTCGCCAGCACCGTATGCAGCGGGTTAACCGGCGGCTTGATGGTCCCGCAATCGAGCATGTGAACGAACTCTGTCTCAGCTATATGTAGATTATTGGGATTTAGATGATATTTTTGGGTACCGCAATTGGTCCTGCTGTCATAATGTGGTTCATTTCAAAGGTGACTATGCATGTGGGAGTATGCGTTGGTCGTCTCTATTCCGGATGCCTAACGCTGCTTGATAAAGGGAGTCGAATGAGTGTTTAGTCCTGACAAATGAAAAATCTTGCCCTATGTAGATGTTTATACTACTCGACAGCGTGTTGTTGCCTGCCAGTCGTCGTTGATAGATGCCTATACGTGGTTTGTGATGGTTTAGTGAATCGGTGCCAATGATTGGTCCTGAAACCCCGGCTGGGTAGAGGATTCAATGACTGCCTTTGCCAAGACCTTATTAAAGATAGGTGCACTTTTTCAGCGGTGGCGATCAGGTGTGCTATCAGTCAACTGCGGACTAAAGAACGGATCCCAGACTGCTTTCGTGGTAGTAAAAGAAACTGTGACTTCTGTGCCAGTATCGGTGAGGTAGCGAATTTTCGTCGTCGTATTTATAACGTAGAAACAACGGTTGTTTCTGTCAGCTACGGTCGTCTTTGCTGGGCGCCAACAGGACAGCTTCGCAACCTCATGGGGTCTCTTTGAAAGTGCACTGTTTGTGACGCCTCCGTGAATCCCTGTCATATGTCTTAAAGAACGAACAACGATTGAGGTTCTCAAACGTGCGAGGCCTAGCTGTTGATGCGCCCCGTAACTTTTGGAGGTGGAGAGCAGCGTGAAAGTGCTGCAATGTATAACATGAACTAGGGTTTCGGCGTCAGGGGATGTCTTCGGTGATAAGGACAGATGAAGAAGCCAACCACCGGTTCACTGTGCTCGTCATGTTCCAACAAGTGTGATATTAACAGAGGATGATTTCGTAGCCACATGGCAGTTGTATATTTGTCGCATCATGCCAATACGCCATGATACGTTGACTAGCTGGTTAGAAGATCGTGAACGACGAGAGCGGTGTAATACCAGAATGCACCGGATGGTGTGAATGGAGGACAGTCTAACTTTGGTCTAGCACGTGCATTTAGAACTTGAAGTTCAGCATCTGTGTCAAGTAACTAAGATGTGTACGTCACTCATTTCAGGGAGTTTTTGAAGTTATTCCTGTTAGACCACAACGTTTTCTGGCTTTAACTGTTAATTACACGAATGTAGACATAATAAAGTTGTGACCAGCTCCTTCTAGACAAGGAATCCAGTTAAGTGAAAGCTTTCTTAATTCCTTTACCAACCGTTCGAAGTAATTTGGAGATACTCGACAGTATTTGTTCCAACAGATAAGTGCATAGAAGCGGTGGATTCTATCGCAGCTGAATGAGGAGAACAGCAGAATGAAAAGTCATCAGCCTTAGTTTGTGGATGTGAGAGGTTTGGAACTGGTATTTCCCATGCTTGTTTGTATCATATTGGAAAGTGGAATTCAGTTGATAGTGCGTAGTTTAACATATTGCGTTACATCATGCCAAGGACTTACGATCAGGAATTAGCTTTCTTGGAGAAGATTACTCCAACATGTTGGAAGATAAAAAAGGGTTTTGTCCCAAATATGAACGTAACTTGTTTTCAAATGTACTAAATCTGTCTTATCTGAAGGTTGAGGGTGTTTTCTATGTGAATGATTTCCTCGAGAAACTTATGTTTGATGAACTGCGAAATTTCACTAGAAGTGGTGATTACGGTGGCTTTCTACCAGGCATGAAACAAATAGGAAACGTTGCAGCGCTACCTGGAATAGTGCATGTAAGTACCAAAATGTTATCACTTAAGGTCGTAGCTAAGACCTTGACGAATAATAATTAGTCGACAATATCCTTGGCTTTAGTACTAATAGTCCACTGAATGTCGTTCGAAATAAGAAGTCTCAATTTCAGGCTTTTGTTTTTCCGTAGGTACAGTGACTTCAATATACTTCGGGTTGCTAACTTTTCCACGATCCATGATCCATAGTGTTGTATAATCATTCTATTAATGTTAGACAAAATTCTATTAATTCTGATGAGTAGTATACTGTAGATATGCTTCCGATAATGGTTGATTTTGAAAGTGGTTAGGAGATGACTCATATGTCCCTAAATAAACGGATTGACTTTGTAATATTTGTGTGAAGTTTGTTGCAGCTTATTTGTCCAGGAGATGGCATTCTTCTCTAAAGTGAATTTCGTTTTTTCTTAAACTATGGGATATCCTTATGTCAACAGTGACGAGTGGAGCTACCTGACTTCGCGTAATTACCCACCGTGCAGTGATGTTACTATTCTAAAGCGGATCAAGTAGCTTCCGAGCTTCATTAATCACATTCAAATAAAAGTGAGGTGGACACGCACGCGTAAGTAACAGTACCACAGTGTTTTGGTTGAAAAACAATGCAATCATCAAAAATTTCTATGAATACATGACAAAACCGAGGTGTTGTATTTGCCCGGTTTATTTTTAATGTATCTGTCATTTATTCCATTTTAAACAACCTTAGCACAAAATTAGCTCCAACAAGTGCTCCACTGGTATGGTTGATCCAACTGTTTCATTAACTCCCATGTGCTTAAGTGATTGTATAACCAGGTACTTCTGAATTCCAAAACTATTCGCGTTACTGTAGTATAATTCATCATTTTTCATGTATCCCGTAGTTGACATTAGCATAAGCAGAAAGTGCACCACAAAATAGTGCCAAGCATCTTGATATTCGTGTACATACCTGTAAACCACAGTCACTTCTTAAGGACATCTAGTACAAAGAAGTTATCAAAGCCATAGGTTGGACAAGCTTTTAGCCCCAGACCCACTAGTTGGAGGTCGAGTACTAAAACCATTACTGGCCCATTTGAAGCATAAACATACCTCTCCCTATGGGATACTTCATTCCTCCTCACAACTGACAGTTCCACATGATGCTGCACTTATGTTATTTTGGTTGTTGTTGCACAGAGTATATATTAAGTAGTTACTAACCTACACCTACAATTTTCAAGATGATCCAATGGCCACCCTTACATGATGTGATCTCGATGAAGAAGTTTCGAGGGAAACCACCTTGTACTAATCAGGTAATGTCGAAAAAAGCATGTTCTGAAGCTGCATGTTTGGTCTTGCTCAAAATGTTTATTTGGTTAAATGTAAGTAAAAATTTGAAATTCCTTCAGCAACCACATGCACATTCCTACCGTGGACAAAGAGCTGTACCTATTATATAAAGACTAATGAAGCTTCAAGACAGCCATCAAGACAAAATGGGAGACATCGAGCAACATCCCTGAAGAAACCTGTGTGGAAGAACACTGGAAGTCTTTGAAAGCTATGTGGAAAGAAACCTGCACAACAGTATTAGGAAGGAAGAAGAAAGAAGACAAGGAATGGATCTCGACGGATACCTGGAAGCTGATAGAGCAGGGAGAGGAGGATGGTGAAGCAGAAGATAAACCAGTGCAAGGATGCTCAACGACAAGAGGAACTGAGCACAATGTATAAAACACTGGACAAAGAAGTGAAGAAGAGTGCACGCAAAGACAAAAGACACTTCCACGACACACTGGCAAGTGAAGCAGAACAGGCTGCAGGTAAGAGAGACCTGACGACATTGTATCAAATAACCAGGTTGCTATCAGGGAATTGACCAACACAGATGAAACCAATAAAAGATGAAGGAAATTTAATTACGAAAGAAGAGAAACAAAGGAAACAATGGGCAGACCACTTCAAGAAGCTCTTGAATCGACCACCACCTGCACTTCGTCCAGAAATACCACCTGCAGCCGCTGAATTACAAGTGAACATAAATCCCCCAACGAAAATGGAAGTCCTGAACGCCACAAAGCTACTGAAATGCGGGAAAGCAGCAGGACCAGATGGAATACCGCCAGAAGCACTGAGAACAGATGCAGAGACAACAGCGGACATGCTCACACCACTATTGCAGAAGGTGTGGAAGGAAGAGAAGGTACCGGACGATTGGAAGAAGGGTTACCTTGTCAAACTGCCGAAGAAGGGAGACCTCAGTGCTTGCAAGAACTGGCGTGGAATCACTCTCCTGTCCACCCCAAGTAAAATATTAAGCCGCATCATCCTAGAGAGGCTAAGGGATGCACTGGATTCAAAACTGCGACCGGAACAGGCAGGCTTCAGGAAGTACAAATCATGTGCAGACCAAATTGCAACGCTTCGTATCATCATAGAACAGAGCGTAGAATGGCAATCAGCTCTATACCTCAACTTCATCGACTTTGAGAAGGCCTTTGACAGCGTCGACCGAGAAGTAATTTGGAAACTGCTTCACTACTACGGAGTACCGCAAACCTTTATCCGCCTCATTCAACAACTATATGAAGATGCCACATGCCAAGTAATCCACAATGGGAAGCTCAGTGATGCCTTTGAAGTGAAGACAGGAGTGAAACAAGGTTGCCTACTATCCCCCATGATATTCCTTATTGTGGTGGACTGGATCATGCAGCAAACAGTAGGCAGCGAGAAGAGGGGGATACACTGGACTGCGGAAAAGAACCTAGAAGACTTGGATTTCGCCGATGACTTATGCCTAATGTCACATAAACTTGAAGATCTGCAGGCAAAAACTAACAAGTTGATAGAAGAGGCAGCGAGGACGGGACTTCAGGTGAATATAGAGAAGACAGAAGTGATGAAGATACCGCACCACCACCATCAACAACAACAACAAACTCCAATCACCGTCAACGGGAGAAACTTGAAGGAAGTAACCTCCTTCACTTATCTAGGAAGCACTGTTTCAACTACAGGCGGGACGGACGAGGACGTCAAAGTCAGAATCGGAAAAGCAAGACAGGCGTTCATTAGCCTGAAACCAGTGTGGAGATCTTCTGCACTCAGCATGCGGAACAAGATACGGATTTTCAACACCAACGTCAAGTCAGTGCTCTTGTATGGTTCAGAGACTTGGCGCGTCACGAAAGGGATTTCCAATAAACTACAGACATTCATCAACAACTGCTTACGCTCGCTACTGAAGATCAGACGGCCAGAATGGTCGGAATAAGCAACAAGGAACTCTGGGAACGAACCAACCAAGAACCTATCACGCAACAAATATGCAGGAGGAAGTGGAGATGGATTGGCCATGCACTGAGAAGGCCGACTGAGGACATCACGCGTCAGGCCCTCGAGTGGAATCCCCATGGGAAGCGACGAGTTGGACGTCCGAGGGTGACATGGAGGAGGTCATGCGAGGAGGAAATGAGAGCTTCTGGGCTGTCGTGGAACCAGGTTCAAAAGATCTCAGAGAACAGAGGTCACTGGAGGCGTGCTACTGAAGCCCTATGTTCCACTAGGAACCCAAGGGACTAATAATAAATAATAATAAATGAAGCTGTGTAGCTGCCCAGAACTCATTAGGTGGGGCAGGTTTCAAACCTATGACCCATCAGTTGGAAGTTGAGTCCCTAGACCAATAGGCCACAACTCTTTAGATAAAAATTAGAATTAGCTCTTTTTAAACTCATCAAGTGTTGACTTCTAACGAAAGTCTCTTAGTTTTCATTCATGCAACTAAGTAAAAAACACAGCTAACGGGCTGTACATTAACCATTGGTACTGCATCTGAGATGTCTACTTCATTTCCTTTTAGGGTGAGTTAATAAGGGGAAGCTGTGAATGTCAGCATCTGTACAATATCAAATACCGTAAATTTTACACACCCACTTTCTTGTAACTGTCATAAGACCACCACTCCGTTTTCATTCTCACTCATAACTGTTAACGTGTCAAGTTATGTTAGCGTTAGGAGGTAAATAATCAAAAACAAAGTATTTGATCGGTTTTAAAAATAGGATGAATAATTGTATTAACTCGGTATAACCTTTGCACCACCGATGCTGGGCTTAATCTGCCTGTAGGTTGAATGAACCAGAACGGCTTCCAGAAGTTATAAAACGCAACTGCTACCCAGTTTGCATTCTGATCAGCAAAGCTCACTTCTTCAGCATGAAAGTGTAAATTCTGTATTTTTTATTCACCCAGTGAATATGAACATGGAACTTAGTAATCTGGCACAAGTGTTTGTAGTAAGCTGTGAACCCCACTAGTTGTGTAAGGGATTTTGATACTACGCACCTACCCAGGTCGATGTAGGCGTGCGCAAGATTCGAACCCTTGCCCCACTGTTTGACAGTCGAATGCTCAAGCCAACGAGACATTACGCCACCTCTGCGTAATGGTTCAAGTTCTCGAGTTGACTTCTCATTAGTAAACTCATTTATGAATAAGTTCTCATTCTAGTAACTGTCTGCGTATTTTTCTTCTTTAGCGTTCAGTTGGTTTACCAGATGTGCATTCAGGGTATGGTTTTGCCATCGGTAAGTACTAAACTTGTTTTGTTTACTTAAGTGTTATTTGCTAAGCAACTATATACTTTCATTTGTGATTTACTGCACGTCATATGAGGTGCCTTACACCCATTCTGGTGTAGTTAATACTTCAAGCGTTCTGAATTGTAGCGTTTGGGTAGACACTTATTCCGTCCATAAAAAATGGTTATCGTGAATTCGTCTGCTTTGCTGCATTCATTGCACTTTCTATTGAACAGTACATCACACCTTTATGAACTTGTTGTTTAGGCGTTACTATTTCCAACACATCTATATACATTTTGGTACATACTATAAAGCCTAGTACTGCTAGTTTAAGATTACTGTCAAACATTTTTAAAAATCTATGCTGTGTATTCAGTTAGTCTATCACCCGAAATTAGGGATTTTCAGATTGTATCATGCTACCTGAAATACTAAAAATATGAACATTTTTGCTCACAATTCATTGGTCAATATCCTTTTTTACTTAGCATTCATTTTTGGTTGTCACCATAACGTTACATTTCTTTTCTGGAAATCGACAACCGAATTTAGATGTGATAATTGAGTTACGTAGTCTATCATTATAATATTATTATTTGTCCCTTCGGTTCCTAGTGGAACATAGGGCTTCAGTAGCACGTCGCCTTTTCACTCTATTCTCTGCAGTCTTTTGAACCTAGCTCCACGGCTGCCTACAAGCTTTCATTTCTTCCTTACGCGATCTCCTCCATGTCACCCTCGCCTCGGAAGCCCAACTCGTCGTTTCCCCTTTGGGTTCCACTCGAGGACCTGGCGCGTGATGTCCCCAATCCATCTCCACTTTCTACATATTTGTTGGGCGATAGGTCCTTGGTTGGTTCGTTGCCAGGCCGAAGTTCCTTGTTGCTTATTCTTTCGGGCCATCCACCTGATCTTCAGTATCGAGTGAGTGTGGGCGGCAGCTATTAATGAATGTCTGTAGTTTGTTCGAAATGCTTTTCGTAACGCGCCAAGTCTCTCAACCATCACATAGAAGCACTGACTTGACTGAATTAGTGTTGAAAATCCGGATCTTGTTCTTTGTGCTGAGTGCAGTAGATCTCCACACTGATTTCAGGTTAATGAAGGCCTGTTTTGCTTCTGCGATCCTGGTTTTGACATTCTTATCTATGTCTGTGCCGCCTGTAGTTGAAACGATGCTGCTTAGGCAGGTGGGTGAACGAGACAACTTCGTTCAGATTTCTTCTTTGTAATGGTGATTGGTGCTTGTTGTTGTTGTTGGTCGGGTATCTTCATCACCTCCGTCTTCTCTATATTCACCTGAAGTCCCGTCTTCGCTACCCCGCTTCTTCTGTCAACTTGCTGGTTGTTGCCTGTAGATCTTCGAGTTGGTGCCACGTGACATTAGACATAAATCATCGGCGAAATCCAAATCTTCTCCTGAGGTCTTTTCATCGGTCAAACTGCGTATACCCCTTTTTTCTCGCATCACAGTTTGTTGCATGATCCAGTCGACCACAATCAGGAAGGTCATCGGTGATGATAGTAGGCAGCCTTGTCTTATTCCTGTCTCCACTTCAAACGTGTCACTGAGCTTTCCATTGTGGATCACTTGACATTTGGCGTCTTCATATAGCTGCTGAATGAGATTGATAAAGGTTTGTGGTATTCCGTAGTTTGTTAAAGCAGCTGCCAAGTTACTTCTCAGTCGACACTGTCGAAGGCCTTTTCAAAGTCGACGAAGTTGAGGTAGAGAGTTGACCGCCATTCTATGCTCTTTTCTATGATGATGCGTAGCGTGGTGTTGTAGTTTGATCCACACGTGACTTGTTTTTCCTGAAGCTAGCCAGCCAGCCTATTCCGGTCGTAATTTTTAATCCAACGCATTTTTTAGTCTCTCCAGGATGATGTGGCATAATATTTTGCTTGGAGTGGACAGGAGCACGATTCCTCGCCAGTTCTTGCAAAAATTTAGGTCAGCCTTCTTTGGGAGTTTGAAAAGGTAGCCCTTCTTCCACTCTGCAGGTACCTTTTCCTCCTACCTTCCTTCCTTCGAAACCTTTTTCAATAGTGGTGTGAGCGTGTCCGCTGTTGTCTCTGCGTCTGTTTTCAGTGTTTCTGGCGGAATTTCATCTGGTCCAACCGCTTTCCTGGCTTTCAGTAACTTTATGGCATTCAGGACTTCACTTCTTTTGTGGGAGGGCTTATGTTCACTGATAGTTCTGTGGCTGGGCTGCTGGTGGTATTTCTGGCTGAGTTGCAGGTGGTGGTCGACTCAAGAGCTTTTTGCAGTGGTCAGCCCATCGTACCCTCTCTGGTAACTAGGTTTCCTTCACTATCTTTTATTGGTTTCATCTGCGTTGATCTCTTCTCAGATAGTAACCTGGTTATTTGATATGTTTTCAGGTCTCTCTTACCTGCAGCCTGTTTTGCTTCAGTTCTAAGTGTGTCGTAAAAGTGTCTTTTGTTTTTCCGTGCACTCTTCTTCACTTCTTTGTCCAGTGTAGTGTTTTATAGGTTGTACTCAGTTCTTCGCTGCACTGCACTGGTTCATATTCTGCTTCACCACCTTCCTCTCCCTGCTCTATTAGCTTCCATGTGTCCATCGAGATCCATTCCTTATCTCCTTTCTTCTTCCTTCCTAATACGGTTATACAGGTTTATTTCCACATCTCTTTCAAGGACTTCCAGTGTTCTTCCACGCAGGTTTCCTCAGGGATGTTGCTTAATGTCTCCCATTTCGTCCTGATGACCAACTGGCGTGAAGATGTCCTTTGTAGTTTCGTCCTTCAGTTTCTGTTCTGGGTGCTAAACTTAAACTATAGTCTATCACCAGCTTCTTTGAAGGCTTTCAACTTGATTTTGAAGGTTCATTGCACTAGATGGTGGTCTGAACCTACATCTGCTCCCCTTCTTGATCTGCGTCTCCACTTTCTTGAGATTGAGATAAGGTCAATCTGATTTTTAGTGTGTCCATCTGGTGAAATCCATATCGCTTTGTGCATATCCTTGTGTCTGTACACAGTGCCTCTAATCACCAAATCGTTGAATGCGCAGAAGTCTGCAAACAGTTCTCTATTCTCATTGATTTCACCGACTGCTTCTCGGCCCATGGTTAGTTCTCTTCCTGTGTTGTCTGCTCCCAGTTTGACATTCATGTCATCCATTAGAATTTTGATGTCACCATCTGGGGTGTTGTCTTGTCCAGTGCTGATTGCAGTTGTTTATAGAATTCCTTGTTCTTCTCTTGATCTGCATTATTTGTAGGTGCATAGCATAGCACTAAATGATTGTGACTTTCCTTATTTTTGAGTTGAATCTTGCTGTCATGATTTTGATCCTGCAAGAGGAGATTGGTTTTCACTGCATAAGAACCTTCGATGCTATTGGGGATATCATGATAGTCACTCCCTCAGTGTGTTTGTGTTTGTCGTCTGGGTGACCGGAGTAGATTATTAACTCTCCAGTTGACAGTTTGGAGAGTCCACTTCCATCCTATCTGCTCTCGCAGGTTCCTAGCACTTTTATGTTAAACCTTCTCATCTCTTGCAATCTAGGCAACCTTGCTAGGTTCATTGTTTGACCATTCCATATCCCCATTTTTACTTTCGCTTTCATCGAGAGAGAAAAGGCAGATCGACCAATTGGCTTCCCGAAGGCTTTCACCAACCGGCGTCATTCTTTCTCCTCGATTTCAGCAAGGAGTAGGTTTATTTTCTATATTTTCTTTGTGCTTTGGAGTTTCTCTAGCGATTGGATTGGTTTTACAGGGTAGGGTTGCTAGCCCTATACCCGACCTTCCCTCAGGACCGGCTAGTAACTAGTGAACTAGTTAACTAGTCTAGTCAGGCATAAGTAATTTGTTGAAAGTATCACATCCAGTTGTGTGATAACCCTAGTATTTGTCGGAAATTTTCGATATTGAACGTAATACAGCCGAAATTAAGCCTTGAATGATGATTTCAAGAAATGGAGAATCTACCCTTATGCGTAATAAATATTTTCAGGTATTCATTTCTTATATTTACCGAATGGGATAAACCGACTCAATAAATTGGTAAAAATAAACACCAAGAGGTCTTATGTGATCACTCTGATTCAAGCTCTCTTACACTTCATGTCATAATTTCCAAGGTAAGTGAACAAGAGGGAAGGCAAAACTTCCTTTCCCCTGTATACGCTTATCTAGAAAACTAATAATTTATAGGGATAGGTGAAAAGGTCTACCATAAAACTGAGGAGCTTGACAGATTTCAGTTGTCTTGCTGATTTCAACCTAAAAGCTTTCACTCCCCTACTCGGTTACTCATGGTAGTTGGTGACTACGTGGATTGGCCTTGGGCATTAGCTTGATCACCATCAGCTTTCTTATAACCCTGTTCCAGCTAACGTAGCGTGGTGTACGTAACATACTCATGATGTTTTGCTCATACCGTTGTGTTTGTGCTTAATGGTTCCACTACAAACAAGCTATAGAGATTTATTTCGTCGAATTCAACACTTGGCTTCCAACTAGTGAATTATCTTTCCAAACCAAACGGCTCTTACTTGCCTAGGAAAATAAGCAGCATCATAAACCCTCACGCATTAAGTGTGGGTCATGGTTCAGTGCACAAACCTCTACACCACACCGAGTCACAACAGTCTACATTAAATGTTAACGATGTTTAAAGGACAATAGCAATCAGCAATTGATTACGTGATAGTTTGTTATAGGACCGTTTGCACTAGTGGTAGTGAGGAAACACTTCTTGTACCGTAGTGTATCGACAGGTTACTGTCCTTACCCATGATATTGGCTCAGATTACGACATTGATGCTTATGAAATAAGAGATAACAGTCGACCAAACTGACATTATTTCTAAAGCCGTCAAATTTTGTGACTCATCTCCGGAGTAGCAATGATGGTAAGAACAAACTGCTCTCAATCAGTAAATATCGTTACGGGAAATCGCGTTACTGTGTAGTGGTTCAAGGATAATATTCTCGAACGGCGAAGCTTTAGCTATGGGTAAATTGAACTACCGCTGTACACTGTTCGGTGTGCATCAGACAATAAGATTTATGAGATTCTACCATGATCACGAAAATTCTATGGCTAGTTAGACTTCAGGTACCCAAAGAAAGCACCAGATTAGTTTAACAAAGAAAGGATATACATAAATCGAGGAGTTTATTGCCTGAAACGTTTTTACTGTGAGGTTATCTGTTTAGGCTGTATTGCCTATTTAGGTTCCAAGGAACTGACCACCAGTAGGCGAAATTCCCCATGCATTTTCACTATCATTAGGATCTTTAGCTCTAACAGATCCTAATCACTATAGCCCTACAAGGCGTACCTTTGCATTTTCGGATACTAAGAAATAAGGACCATCTCTTGAAGTAGTAAGATGTATGATATATCACCTCATATCAATGCATTTTCGTTTTATCCAGCAAAGAATAATTTGGGTTGCTTTCCTCATGTTCAACTGATTCTGATTTATTCTGTTCACATATTATCTTAAGAAATAACTACTGTGGTTAGTGCACATGTTTCAAGTAAACTAGCAAGGATGATTCCTAGTTAGTCCTGTAGCTCAATGGGTCATACTTTCGACTATATCTGCCACTTTATCGACATCATTTCAGACATCTGTATAGTAGTTGTCTATCGGAGCACGATGGTCATTCCTGACATACATGTATATTTATGGTTGTTACAGTCATAGCATTTTTGTCTAATGACAACAGATGGAACTGTTTGATAACTGCAGTCGGAGACATAAACATGGTACAATATTTTATAAGTGTTTTGGAAGGCATTTTGAAGCGGTGCTCTGGCGATTAGCACACCCTACTTACCTTGATATGTTAAAAAAGCCTATCCCATAAAGTTGAATCAATACCATTTTGGTAACATTCTACAATTGTCACGTTACGCTACAATCGAACACGTTTTTCCGTTAACCGAAATCAGCGTAAGGTCAAGAATTACTGGGTTATGGCCAAAATTATCACACGTCACTTCACTAATCAAGACAAAAAAAATGATAAAGAAGGACTGGAAATAATGTAGTCAAAAGCTGTAAAAGATCACAATGAAAAGAAGTGTTAGCGCAAATAACTAATTGTCGCATAACAATTAATATAACAATAAGGTATGGATGTATCTGTCCCAATACCGTCGTTTCTAAGTAACTGACAAAGCCCTTAATTATCAGTTTCGGTTGTAACTCAGACCCTAACCTAGTAGCTGAAACTTTCTTATACGGCGCAGAAAATATTCAAAAACTTCATTGACTTGTGCCACATTCTGGTCACCTCTATCCTCACCGAAACCTAATTGAGTTACCTTTGCACATCAGTGAAAACTGTGCAAAAGGTTCGCAACCTTTTTACATTGAGCCCCACGTCCAGTATCTGCATTACTCATATTGTAACTCATGATGTGCAAGTGACTCTACGTAGACGGTATCAGTCGGAAAATTCAGAGCTTATCTTATTCTCTGCGTTCACTGGTCGTGTTTAATAACCCTATACTAGGACACAGCGAACCGATGCACAGTACACTCAGTCTTTAGCAAGCAGTTGGATATGTTTCCGATACCGCTAGTGCAGTAAGTTGGTAGAACCAATAAGGCCTTTCGCATTTGTGCTGGTGTTTCGTCATTCCCTCATGCATCAGAACTCATCTGACTTCACAAGTAAATAAAGTTGTCAATGGGTTTAACCACTTTACCTTCATTTGTAAATGAGGTATTGACGCAGACTGATCCAGAAGCAACAGTGCATTTTGAAATGCATCCCAACACATTCTTAAGTTGTCACTCAAAATATTCAGAAAACTGTGCTTCTTGTCAGTGTTTTTGCATATTGGGACTATATCGTCTGTATACCCTACTCGATTACGGAACTGAGTCCAATGAACTAAGTAGTTGACGTTTAGCTAGTAGGTAAAGAGTTTTAACCCCTCTTCACCTACTGAAGTTTCGTCGGATAGATAGAATCACTAATCCTCATAAAATAGGCATGGCTCATTACCTATTGTATGGAGATGCAATTGGTTTCTGAGTGGGTTCAGTTTTTCAACTCTGAATGGACTGCGTAGTCTCCTACGAGATCAATCTCTGTACAGTCGAACAAGGAAAAAGGACCTCAAGCAAGTTTGTAAAAACAAGGAGTGGAAATCCTTGACGAACAATATGTGACATGGACAACCCATGTGATTACTCACAAAAGGCTTAGCAAGAGCGTGAGTAATTGATTGTCAATCCTCCACAAGTATACTGTATTTTCCAAATACTGACATGAAGCTTCGATTGGCGAAGTCGAGTGGGAACTTCAGGTTAAGAAATACAACTAGTGTTGGACTTGTTTCAGGGTCTTATGGAATGGAACAATCTAGTTGATACGTCCACGGTGAGGTCTAACACCTAATTGTATTTCTTGGATTTGCTGTTTCTGTTCTTCACTTCGGCGTCTGGTGGTTATAGAACCTGTAACCTGAGTCTCTTGCGGTCGTCATGAGAGAACTTCTATCGTTTCTACAAGACTAGAACAATAAACAATGGAGATCAGTTAGATAGAATTATATCTGACTCCCACACGCCAGTTAGTGCTTCAGTTAGTTTTTCAGTAATGCAATGAAAGCAAACTGTCATTTTTTTATTATTTCTAAGGTAATATGGCCGCATTCGATCTGACTAATCCAAAATCAGTTGTCTCACCTGGAGGTGTCGGGTTCGATATCAACTGTGGAGTTCGGCTTATACGTACAAATCTGAATTTAAAGGATGTCCTCCCGGTGAAAGAAAAACTCACCCAAACTTTATTCGATCATATTCCTGTTGGTGTTGGTTCAAAAGGCATCATACCAATGGATGCCCAAGCTCTTGAAGAAGCTTTAGAAATGGGGATGGACTGGTCTTTACGACAAGGTAGATCATATTTCTTTTCAATGTTGTTCATTTTCATCCCATGTCTCACTAACGTATGGCTGATAATCTGAGTGCAAATAGACAAGTCGTTAACACATTTCGGTAACATTATATGGTTGTTCTATAGACTTATAAAGTATGAGCGTTTTTCATTTCTACTTTTGTTATAGCTGTAGATAATCTAAACACAACATTTATTAGCATTGTTAGCTATTCAGTCATTAACGCAAAGCAGCATAGGTCGGTGGCTGCGATCTATTCTGTGGTTACATAGATTGAAACTTAGTTCACTGCACAACAACACCATAATGATGCCACTCAAAATGAAATAAAAACCATGTGAAGATAAATGAAGAAGAAAGACGTAATAAGAAAGGTGATATCAATAGTGAAAAGGATGATCATAGAAATGAGAAAAGCAGTGTGAATGAAGAAAACATAATTAGAATACATCTCTTTTCATCTTGGGTGTTGCACTTTATCTTATTGTTTATATATGACTAGAACAGTCACACCACTGGCACTGTTTTCGGGTCATCTTTGATAATATCTCGATGATCTGAATTTCGTTGCTTGGACTCCTGGGATCCGTAAGGCTAAAATAAATACTTACCAACTGAAATTGTTATTCATTCTCTTGTGCCATCTCGCATACTAACCATCTCTCTGGTTCTTCTAATCAGTGCTAGATGTTGTTCGAGTAGCTTGACTGAAGATTGTATCATGGTTATCAGATGAATAATGATCCCACTACTGCTTACATGTTACTAGTGCTCATTCAGAACAATGCTGTGACGACAGTGGCGATCAAGCGCAGCATGGACTGGCATCCTCAGTTTAACTAGGCAAAAATGAGACAGAAATGTTAACACTCAGTCGTTGTAAATCTGGGCCATATCTGTCAAGTGAGACTGGTGGTTCACAGTTAACAGTGAATTCAGTCACAGATTCTTACCCATAATGGGAAAACATTATGCATTTTGATAGTGCACGTGTGTGTCACACTCATACAGTTTATTCTCAACTTATTAAATGATATTTTTACAATATGTACCTAATTCACTAACAGCATTGTTGGTTGACTTGTTATTGTTCAGGCGAGGCATTTAGGGAGAAATTGTTTGCAAGGAATGTAATTAACCTGGTTAGGCTACTTTCATTGTCAAATCACTGAAGATAAGTTGAAAACACGACGAATGTGTGATAAGTACTTTTTAAGCTCCGATTCCTGCTCAAAATATTAAGTGCGTAACACTTAAGGGACTCAAGAGGGTAGACTCATGACATGCATAATTACAAATTAACCTGGGTTGGACCTAAAACGTAATGAATACCACTAATACTTCATCTGCAACATTCTGTTATAGTTAACTACCGTTCAAACTAACAATCTCACCCTGTATGATTCCAGAACCCAACAAATCAGAATTTGTTTGGATAGGAAGTCGTTCTTCGAGGATGATACTATATTTCATGCCCCAAATACTGAACCTGAAATGTTTGTTTTCCAATTTTGATGGTGTCATTGTGATGCAAATTATTCATACATTTCATCCAATTGAAAGCTAAGATATATGCTTGTTCTATGCCTGGTATACACAGAGGATACTAATATTTTAAACCCGATATGATTAGTCTACCCTCTGTAATTTAAGCATGCTAACCGAAAAATATTTTGTCTCCATAGAATAGCAGTACTTGCAGTTTTACTGTAGGCTCATACCTAAATTCACACAGGTATCACAGTTGTTTCTGAAACAGTTTTCAGAACAAAAGTTTTTTTCGAAGTAGAGTCGAAGAAACATCCCACAAAATGCTCTAGATTCTGGAAACATTATCTCTTCTGTGGAATTTTTCTCATAAAATGGTCTCATTGCAAAACTGTAGAAGACTGACGAAATTTGGCAACACTACCTGACTTCACTAAAGGTCTAAAACGTTGAAAAATGGTGATTATGTAACGTCAGTTTACTTAAGGTGTCATGTCTAAAGTTTTCCGAATTTTGATAAATCTTTCAGACATGCTTAATCTATCCGATACTTCCGGAAAGCAATTTTGTGTCGAATCATAAGCAATCCTGATGTTAATGAATTTGACTACTGTTGACTTGTAATATTTTTAACAGGTTTTCACTGTTAGTATCCGTTCCGAAAAGATTGTAAGTAGAAGCTAAAACATGGAGATATAGCGCTCATATTTGACTCCTTAATAGAATAACGTTGTGGAGCTGTGGTTCTCATCGGTCTGAGCATTCAACTCTCAACCAAATGAGTTGCTTGTTCGAATTTCGCTCTACCTAACAAGGTTTGATTAGACAAGTAGTATTATTAGACCTGATATATTGACGGACACACTTGAAAAATTAATGTAGAACCTCGCATACAGGTGCATCAGCTTAAATTACCATACTTCACAGTAGTACACAAAGAACAGGTGGATAGAAAAGGAGTGATAAATAAGGATGTGTGAGAGAATAAGTAATCTGGAGGTAAATGTTGGTGCTAATGTTGACACTAGATGTCAAGGAGTGAATACATCTACGGTATTGTGACCGATTTTCAACGACGTCACGAAGACTTGTCAACCACTGATTCCTATCGTCTCCGAGAACCCAACTGGACAGTCTACATTTCCTTATACTACTCAGACGAAAAGTAAAGGACTTAACTGACTGGTGCTACGTCTTGGCCTAATCACCCTTAACCCTCTCCCAGTCTAATCCAACTTCCTCTAGCATTACACATCGAAGTAGGTGGTGGCTGGGCACGCACAGTCGACTAGGGTTCATAACCTCATCAATCAACTTGCCTGTTTTAAGTAGTACCTTTCTCCTGACCTCAAAATTGCTCACACGGTGATTCCACCAAACCCCAGCAATGCTACAATATGTATGACTCGTTGCCTACTACATGAACGTGCACATGGTTACTGAGTGCATTCCCTTTTCTTATTCTGAGAGCTATGTTTACAATCTAAATTCTGTTGCCAGTCATTTTCGTTAACTCTTCATTCATGACCGTTGCATCAGAAGAGATTTGATAATTAGCTTCCTGGCTTAAGCACTCTTATAAGTCCAACTTCTGATCTCTCTGCCAAGATTCAAGTTGCTGAATAGCATCAGTAGTATTCACGATAGATACAACTCATTGCGTGGCAACCCAATCTTTAGGAGACTTCTGGATTGCATTACTTTATTGATTAGTGTCAAAGAATAAAAACTGAGCGTAGCAGGACTGCACTTATTCATTCTTATGGAAGTTTTATTGTAAGAAAGAATGAATAGTTTCTGGATATTTACAAATTGTGTTCGAATTCAGATTAACGGATGATCTATACATAAGTTCGTTTTATGAACTCTTTTACAAATTCTATTCTGACATTCTTCAGAACTGGAATAGTTCTGCTTACACAGCAAAACATTTAGAAAACCTTTTTTGACTTTCTAAGCAGACAGAGAGTATATTGAAATATTTTAGTAATTCATGTCTACCGTTTGAAGATTTCTTACCGGCAGATCTTATCAGTTGTTTTTTTCATGTTATACTTTGAAGTTATTATTTCCTTTATAAAATACAAATCTAGGTTATGTGTGGGCTGATGATAAAGAACACTGTGAAGAGTATGGCCGTATGCTTCAAGCTGATCCAGCTAAAGTTTCATCACGAGCCAAGAAACGTGGATTGCCACAGCTGGGAACATTAGGAGCTGGTAACCATTATGCTGAGATACAGGTTGTGGAGGAGATTTTCGACAGACATGCTGCAACTAAAATGGGCATTGATCGTTTGAATCAAGTGGTTTTAATGATTCATTGCGGTAGCCGAGGAATGGGTCACCAGGTAAATGTGTATTTTTGCTTACACATTTCTGATAGTGTTAGTAAACAGTTGTATGGCATTTTATACTGTTTATTAGGTTTTGTTCTTAGCCTTTAAAAAAGTTTAACTAATATTTAAGCATTAAAATGAAATCATCGCGATACATTATCCAGTTCCTCATCATTTACACCATAGACTTCAAAATGCCAAGTACGAAAACAAACTTATGGCTTGAATCGAAGCCTTATTTTATTGTCAGTGATTCTGTACCATAAGTAGACCGTGGATGAGTTGTGAAAATACTGATAGTTTATAACAAAGTAGTCGTTTTGTTTTTAGATCTGTGAAAGTGCATCGTAGATGTTTGGAGAATTCCTACTTTTATAGCTCTAAGGCAAATTGTAAGAGGAAGTCACCCCTTTCATCATTATTATGGTGTGCGAACCCTACAATCAAGTGAAGAGTGCTTCGCAAAATCACTTATCGACGGTCAACCGAATATTTAATTCAGCTTTTATTTCGGTTATAAACAGTAACTCTTTACGTCATTGATACAGACAGTTGAGAAATACTAATTAATGGTGTCAGTAGCATTTCAGGTGAATTTTTTCGCAATTTATTCGCAAGTCCTGTAATCAATACTTTTATACTTCCTGCGAAATTCTAGTTTTTTAGGGTGTCATATATAAATATTCACCAGGAAATATTAGTTTCCTCAATCACGTTAATTCGACGCATTATTTTATGCTTGACCTATCGAGATCAAATCATTCACACTTTGTTAACTACAATCAAAGGGCTGAAAAAAAGCTAAAGTTTCAATTTCTGGTTATGTGCATCAGGTTGCTTGAAGCGATCATTTGGAAAAACCTTCCCAACTCAGTTCAACTCTGATGACATCAGTGGTGGATAGTGGCTAGCAGTGGAATCTAGAACGCATGTTTCGTCCTATTTAGGCCTCGGCAGTTGGACGTACCTGCCTCCCAGTGAGCTATGTTGTTACCAACAAGACTCGAGCCCGAGATCCATCGCTTCAAATGTTACAGCGTTATTCACTAGGCCACCGAGTCACGATAGCCACTTGTGCACCATTGATATCAAAGTTGAAAATACAGGCAATGTCGAGGCATGCGCGCAAAGCCTATGTGCCAGTAGAGACCAATTAGTTTGGTCCAGTCAACGACAGGATAATACATACGACATCATATCACTTCGTCTGTGTTTAGACTTATATAAGTATCCATGAGACATTTTAGTTTTAGTCTGATTTTTCAGTATTGACTTCTGTTTCGATATTTGTATAATAGGTAATGAAATCAGTACTTTCACGTTGAGAATTCGTCAGATTTTGGTTGATTTTTTCCGGTCATTGAAACAAATATATTCACTCATAAGTAAAGATGTTTCCTAGTATTAATGGATAGTCAATAGCAGTAGAATCCAAGATGCACGTTTCGTCCTGTATGGGACTCATCAACTGAACTCACCTACCTCCCAGTAAATAGTGTTGTTCTCACTGAGATTGTGAAATAGAACCCATCGCTTCAAATATCAGACCGTTATCTATCAGGCTACTCAGTCGTGATAACCCCTCCTTGTGCAACGAGTATAGTTTTGAGGAAATTACAAGCAACATCGAGGTATCCGCACAAGAGCCCATATGCCAATATTAACCGACAGGAAATCATAAGCTATGCCATCAAACATATATTTTTAGCATATCAAACTCTGAAATCCTGTTGATGAATGATAAACTGGAAATTCAAGTAGATTTTCAATGAAATGTATCCTGATGACTTTGCCCACTTAGCTGCAACTGGCACCAAGGGTATGAAGGCTTAAGATATATCTAAGTTTTTCATATCAAGGTAGGCGGGATAGTTTGAACTTGTACTCAGTGATAGGTAGTCGTATATATGTTGACTGTTGAGCAACAACACTAAAATCCACCATCCAGGTGTACGTTAGTTTGTTAAGTTGTGAACCACACTTCCCATCTATGGCGTTTGTCAGGTCTTGGTGATGCTAAGTTGCCCAGGCAAGGATGGTGAGTTAGAAGTTTTAATTCGATAACTTTATGTTGAAGTATGCAGTCTACTGCTTTCCGAAACTTTTGTAGTAAAGTTTTTTGAACTATTCAAAGTTTTTGTCGTTATTGGTCGAAAAGTTATCACGAAAGCCTTGATTTCTAGGCAATTGTTTCACCTGGTTGTGGATTACCGCCGTAATGATACGTACCCACCACCTTTGATCACTTCTATGATCGAACCAAAGATTTTAAATCACATTACAAATTTTCTGTGTTTCATATATTCCTACTTCAATGATAGCATGTAGTAATGAATCAGCAGGATGTGCTTTTACCATAATTCTGGTAGTTTGTAATTTTATCACCTTTATGTCTACTGGTCACCCACCTTTTACTCTTACGTTTGTTTATTATTCCGTTGTTTTCCAGGTTGCAACCGATGCCTTAGTTGCAATGGAAAGAGCAATGAAACGTGACAAAATAGAGGTGAATGATCGACAATTAGCTTGTGCACATATCACTTCTGACGAAGGTCAAGATTATTTGAAGGCAATGGCAGCTGCTGCCAACTACGCTTGGGTTAATCGATCTTCCATGACATTTCTTGCTAGGCAGGTAATTGTTTGTCTGTGATTAATTCTTTTCTTTTTACGAAATCAAGTGACTTTATACTAAATGCAATGGCTGGATTTTCATGGATATTCTTTTCATGGGAATTAATGTCCATAACTAAACTTTAGTGACAACCAATCACGTTCGACTATGCACCGGTCAACAAGAATCAATATCTAGATTGTAAATAGGTTATGTATCGCCACTCATCCGTATCATATCCCCTCGGTGATCTTGTTTAAGGTCTTAAAAACTTTCTAAAATGATTCCACATGTTTTCAACGTTGTTTGTATGCACTGTAGTTATTGGATCAACGAGGTGCTTTTTCACAACAATAGCGTGTTGGGTGTTACCCATTTCAGATAATGGCATGTATGGCTTCCTAGTATCTGTGCATATTATATAATTTACCATATGGTACCCGATGCTACTCATTGTTTAATTGGTTGAATTCAAAATAATTGAATCCTAGTAACAAATGAATCGATCATAAACGTTCACACACATGACTTTTCTCGACTGAATTCCTCAACTGTCTAATATTAATAACAAACTGATAAGCCAAATCTCAATAATGTTAACGCGTAATTCCTTAATAAGTACATATAACTGTAGGACATGTAGAAGAAGAAGTTATCGAAAGAATATTCTTTACTCACTCAAATGGATTCGAATTAAGTATTAAATGAATACGTCATACGGATAAATTGATACTGGTTGAAGAGGCAGCTTTTTAAACGAAATGCTTATTAAAAATGTTTCTGGATTCTTATAGCACCATTTATAGTTCTCTCTTTTGAGTTTATGTATTCATTGAACATGAATTCTTAACGAAAAAATATCGTGAAACATGTAGCATTCTTCCTTCACTCTTTGATAGATCCTCTCGGTCATACATATCGTCATCAAGCTTCTTAGTCTTCTGAGAGAAAAAGCGTATAACTCAATCATTCAATATTAATGGTAAATAAGAAATCCCATAATTTTGAGTTAGTATTCATCGCAAACTAACACTAGTTGGAAACTTAGGAGGAGCACTGGATGGCTGTTTCGTCCCAGTATGGAACTCCTCAGCAGAACGCAGTCGCGACTCGGCTGGGAATCGAACTCAGGACTTTCGGGTTTCATGGTTAACCTGTTAACCACTCAATCACTGGGTCGGAATTCATTGGTTCATAATTTCCTACTTCCGTCAATTCGTGATATAGCGTGACAGTCATCCAAGGTCTTCAGTAAGCATCCAGTTACCTTCCGACTAGTTGACTCTACAGGTCACAGCTTCTCATTACAACTTCGGGATATACGTCTGAAAGCATGTCACTAATGAGCACTCTACAGTAATGTATTTTGAGGTGAATAGAGATTTTAATTTTGAGTTAGTATTCATTATAATAGACGGATTGGTGCTAACAGACGTTTTGCCTGCAAACGACGAAGTAGTTTCATGATATTGATAAGGATTAGCTTCAGTCCCAGCCACTTAATAACGATTTCCAGGTTATTTGTTTCTGTCAAATTCTTAAGCCGACGAATCTAATCTCTAAGTAAGTTTGTAGGTTTAAATGCCACCCTAATTCCATCTTTGTTCAGGATTCTACATAAAGTTTCTGATGTACCTTCTTTATAAGGTTACACAATGAAGGCTGTGAACTTTTTTCTACTCGTGTTGTCGTTATTATTCGCACTCACGTTACTGTTATTATTTCGTTTCTTATGTGTTCGTAGAGGCTAATTATTAACTACTAGTGCTTCTTTTTCTTGTATTTCAGTTCCTTGTTTAGGTCTCTGCACTGACCAATCAGTTTTATAGCTCTATCACTTAGACATTTGACTAAGCCTGCCTTAAGTGACATTGAATAGGATGACTTGAAGTCTAGATTAAACGTTGGTAATGCTATGTTTTCACAACTATCTATAAATATATCTGCTACGATTGGGGATGTTGACGGTCACATTTCTACACCTATTTGTCTGTATATTTTGTCCTGAAACCTGAAGATTGTGGAAGTCAGGCACAACTGTACGCCTAATATGATCGCATCAACCGATATCTTAGTTCTGTGAGTAAATTCTAAGTCACTATTTAGTCGAGTTTTGACTGTCTCCAGTGCTATACTAATTCTAATTTTAGCATAAAAACTTGTTACATCGAAACTAATCAGCTGGAATGAAAGATTTCCAGGTTTATAAGATAATGCCTAAAGAAATCTTTATAGTTTTTGCATCCACCCCAATTTATTTATTGTTATCGTAAAACTAATTAGTTTTTAATCTGTTTATTATTTTTTGCTTCAATACAATAATAGGCTTTTGCAAAAATTTTTAATTCTACACCGGATGATTTAGATATGCATATCATCTATGATGTATCACATAATATTGCCAAAGTAGAAGAGCACTGGGTAGATGGCAAAATAAAAACGTTGTTAGTTCATCGTAAAGGATCGACTCGTGCATTCCCACCTCATCATCCCTTGATTCCTGTTGATTACCAGGTTAGCAATTGAGTATACTAATATCAGTTTGTGACTTGTCATTATACCTTCACGATAATATTCAATGTTCGTTTGAGGTTTGTTATATTTGTCTGTTTTTTTTGTCTCTTCAAAACTCGAAGCATTAGGATATCATCTAGATCTACAATTGTAACAGTAAGGACAGTTTCATGTTGGAGTTCATTTCATACTGAATATTCTTTAGATTTGAGTCCGCTATATTTCACGAACTAATTGTATATGCTAACATGAACTTGCCACCCTTGATTGCTTACCACCCACACAGGGATATAAGTAGAGTATTGGTTACGCTCGTTTGTTATAATTTTTAGTTAGCTAAAATTTAATTTTCTGACTCCTGTTTTAGATAAGTAGTAATTATAATCGATGATTTACGATTAGCATTAGTAAGCCACGAAAGCTAAGGGGATGGAAACTGTAGCTGAAGTAGGAAATATCAAAGAAATAGAATAATCAAGGAAATTGCGCTAACAAGTAGTTAGTTAGTGAAACTATAGCGGAGAAAAATGGGTTCGCGATCCGTTCGCTAGGGAGACGACTAGACTAGTGGGCAGAACATTGCGAGGAACAGTCCACTTTGCTTTCAGCCACTCTTTAGTTGCTAGCTATACAGTCGTATCCTAAACCGAACATTGAGACTAGCCTTCTTACTCTTGCAGAAGTTGAGAAAGCTACAAGTAATCTGCAGCGAAGATGGTTAGCAGGTACTTACTGGCTTGCAACAGAAATAATTAACCGTGATTTCGACCTATTGATTAGAATGATTGAAGTGGTACTTAGCGTATGGAAATCAGATATAATCTCCTTTGGCTAATCTTACTCGCTGATTCTCCCTGTCCTCAAGAAAGAAGAGGAATCCTCCTTTGATAACCACAGTAAAACCAGTCTAATAACAGTAGTGCCCAACATTCTAGGTTCTATGATCCTTTGACGCCTAACTGGGGCTGGGAAATACGGAACTCAAGAAAACGAAACAGATCTTAAGATACGATCGTGGATATATCGAATGTATTTCGAGACTCATGGCATGGTTCCCGATTCGTTGCAATAACTGTACTTTTTATCCCAAGGTAGCATGTTTCTCTTGATTGAGTGGTCAGATGGCAACATGTTTCTCTGAAGAGAATGCCTGCTAAACACATTACCCTACTGGGGTTTGACAAATATGCCCACTCTCTATTTCTATTTGACTTTCACAGACATGCTTATAAAAATGTGCTTCTTCTTGTCCTAAATTACACAGATGAGTCTTGCAAGAGTTTTTATAGTTTACATCATGTACACAGACATCATAATCCTATTTTATGAAAACTTTAACCTCCTAGACACACTGAGTGACAATTTGAAACGCTTTTCTCACTTCCTGATGCATGTTATTGCTACTGGATTGGTCTGCCTTCAAACCTCGTTTGACAGTAAAGGATGAAGTTATTGAACGCGTCACCTGTGAATTTGAAATAATCCTGATGAGTTAGCAACCGATCACATCTCAACTCGATTCGATCTCATCAGCTTACTTCACTCATTGTGTCGGCGACATATCTGACTGCCAGCCAAAGGTTAAGTGTACTGTGTGTTTCTTTGCTTTGTCCTAGTATGTGGATGTTAAGTATAACCATTAAACTTGCAGAATAATATAAGGTTTAAGGTGTTTAGCCATCATTGTCCCAGAAACATTAGTCGCGTGTCACTAAGCCACCAGACAGACAAAATCAAAGTAGAACCTCGCACATAAGTGGCCACACCTCATAGTAGCATTCTACAAAGAATAAGTGGATAGAAAAAGAGTGATATCAAGGTAAACAGTTGTGTGAGGGAATAATCAAGCAGAAAATAACGGTTATTGCAAATATTCAAGCTTTAGAAGACGTCAAGGAATGAATACATCTGTGCTATTATGTCCGATTATGAGCCATTTCACTAAGGCTCTCCAACCATTGATTTCTATCGCCTCGACCACTACAATCACGTAGTCTACACCTTCCTACGCGACCCAGACCAACAGTCAGGGACTTTATCGGCTGGTGCCACATCTTAGTAGGGCCACTCTGTAGTCTTTTCCAAATTAAACTAACTTCTCCTAGCACAGCTCATCGAAGCAGGCGGTGGCTCGCCGTGCGCAGCACATGTTCAGGCCACCTCAGTCACTGAAGCTTGCGAGCTCCATTGATTGACTTGCCTAGCACTCTTTATCTGACCTCACATGGTGATCCCACCAAACGTGAGCGATGCTCCGAAGACAGCTGTGATCAAAACTTACAACCTTTTCATGTCTTCTAACGGCTATATCTCATATCCGTATAACAGGACAGAACGAACTGCAGCGCGACATACCAGTCCTTTAATAAGTAGTCGGATATGTTGCCGACGCTACAGATGACACAGTTTGTCAAATACCGAACAAGCCTTCTGCATCCGAGTCGAGGTTTCGTCAGCAATCAGCTTCTTCGTGCTGGTGCAGTTCCCCGATTAAGTGAAGCGATCGTCGCATTCAACCACTCCACCCCCTACCAATAAACTAGGAGTCGTTGCAAACCAGTTTTTGAAGATCATCTTGTATATGGCTGGTAAGAAACACATGCCAAACGTACTCAGATTTCTGCTCGACGCGTCTGGAATTCTGCGTTTTGTCAGCATCTTCACCTAACTAAATACTATCGTCTGCATACTCTAAACCAACCTAGATGACCTACAGGGAGTAAGTCAATCCCTGTAAATCCAAAGGTACCTAATCTTATTTCCATTAGTACATCTATAACGAAGTTAAACAGGAACGGTGACAGTGGGTATCCTTGATAGAGAGCACTAGTTGTCGTCAGCTCTGATGCCAACACTCCATAAGTCCTCGCATGGCTGCGTAGTTTCTAGCAGAGAACTTTGCTTAGCGTTATATACTTGTTCGGAACTCCCTTCACAGTCAGACACTGCCACGACACCTCAGGGTTTTGCATAGTTGAATTCCGCCTTCGGATCAAGAAATAATGCAAGTGTCGGCCGCTAGTAAGTAGTATGCCACCACGTTAGTCATATAGAGGTTAGGCTTAAAGTTCTATATAATAGGTAGGTTAGTTGGTGAGATTACCAACCTTCATTGAGCGGGGTATCTATGGTATGTTTAACACATGCCTGGTCATTATTCATGCTGACGCCCGATGTTGACACAGGTAGGTTTAGGTTAGGAAAAAGGTTAAAAGTGGTCAGTTCAAAACTTGGCGTCCATCCATGAAGGCTCTGAATTTTCATCTGAGACATATGGGGGGATATGTAGACTCCCAAGTTTGAGTCCTAGTGATAATCCAACTCAGTGGTTAGGAACTCTTGTTAATATGGCTGACGGTAGTCGCATAGATATATCTACTCCCAATCCGCATGTTAACTGTTATACCATGTTTTGTTATTTGCAATAACACATCTTCGTTTCGTTTCGTGGCGTTTTACGACTTTTCGTCATATTATTTCTATTCTTTAATTGTTCATCTAATTGTCTTGTATTTTGGCGAGCTGATATGTTGCATGGTAAGTAACTCCAGGTCCTTTGGTGATATTGACCAATCTAATGATAATCGTACAATAAAATCGGCATTGGCTGATTTTTTGTGCAGTGTTTGTAGAAAGAAAAGCTGAAATTTTTATAACCTCAAATATTATTGCTGTAATTAATTTTTTTTTTTCATCACCTAAATGGGAAGTAAATTTTTTCGTCAAAAACGCATTCACACGAATACCTATTATTATCTATGGAATACTAGTACAGTACTTCGAGATGGGCAATCAGAGACAGTGATTATACACACACAGTATATGTAAGCAAGTGAAGACAGCGTTCCACTAATAAGATTTTCATTTTGTCCATTTTCGATACATCAAAATCTCCATACTCTTGAGCAACATATTTGGCTCAGTAATGTTCTCATTGATTAACAATAAGTTTAATGGAATCAAGGATACTTCTTGCTTATTAGAAGTGTAGCGTTTATCACTGTGGTATATGAACTGATTCAGCTGACATAACCAAATTATGTAAATTATTGAATCTACACTCATAGAATGGAATGTAGCGTTAACATATTTCTGAAAACTGATAATATATCTATCCTAGAGTCAGTAGTATCGTTGAGAGTTAGTAGCCAAGTGAAACCAAAAGCCCTGCACTTATATTTTGCTTTGTTTGTTATTAATATATCAAAGTTTAAAGATTAAGAGATGTTGCTTTGTTACAAGTTTGTTGAGTAGCCCTTTAGTTCCCTTTTACCGCTCCATCGATGGAAAACACCAAATCCTATAGCAGAATCGAAATATTGTGCCTGGCTTGTTCGATTTGCCGCATAACTTTGAACTGTTCTTCACACTTTTGAACCAATGAATATTTAGGATGTATCATTTAAGTTGTACACCTGGGAAAGAGAAAAAATATGTTTTAGGCTAGTTATCAAGTTTGTAGGGTATTCTGTTCATACTTTATCACTGCCGATATCCAGCATGTTGCCATGTAAGCTTCATGCGGCGTGATTGCCATTAATGATCATTATTCTGTTTAAACAGTATGTGAAATTATTAATTTGGAGCGTAGTTTTAACTAGTCTCTTCATTTATTGTGCTACTTTTAAGTTGAACTCCTACATCAAGCCTAGTGGCGACATGCCAGATTCTGTCAGTGGTAAGTGTCAAAGGTTAAATCCTAAGTTTTTAAACCCTAATAACCAATCTTAGTATCTTAAACTCAAACTGCTGACTTTCGATGAATATAATGATTGTAACTCCCTTGGTTATTGAAGCAGTTGTCCTTTTTTCATCGCAATGACTAATTTGTAGCGAAAATCATCATGTTTTATGTATGAAAGAAACAACAAGATTTCTGAAGATTTAACCCATTAAAAAGCTTTATTCACTTGGTTTATTTGCTTATCTGAGCACATTGATGAAATTGATTATTTCTCTAGTCAATTTCGTATACCTTAAAATATTGATTGACAGCAAATTTTGTTTATTGTTTCCATTTTATAGCTAACCGGTCAACCTGTATTAATTGGTGGGACTATGGGTACTTGTAGTTATGTTCTTACCGGTACAGAAAAGGCAATGACTGAAACTTTTGGATCTACATGTCATGGTGCTGTAAGTGATGTGATAAAGAATGTCTATCTTTTACACATAGCTATTTTAACAATTTCAATGGGTGCACACGGTTGAGAAGTCCTATACTAGGATGAAACAGCTATCCAGTGCTCCCAGGCCTCCAATGTGTTCTTCCAACTGATTTCAGTCCATGATGAATACCAAAGTGAAATCAATAAATCCCCCCCCTAAACTGGATTGATCTCATGCCTATTGGTGACTAGCTTCGAAAGGTGATTCCTGAAGTTTCAATGAGAAGTCATGACCGACGGGTCAAACCTGGTGGATGTGAGGACAAACACTCAACGATGACATCGGGTGATGGTCGTGCTATGTAATGAATTGACAGGAGTTGGAAATATGGAAGATTGGATTCTGACCCACTGGCTCAATGGTAACGTGTTGGCCACAAAACCTGGAGGTCCTGGGTTCGATCTCTGGTCTAGCGGGATCGTAGGTACGCACTGCTGAGGAGTGAGTCCCACATTAGGACGAGACAAGTTGTCCAGCGCTCTCAGGTTTCCAATGTTCCTCCAACTGATATCAGTCCATGATGAATGCCAACTTGACATTTCCTGACCGTAGTTGTTCCGAGTTTTGTGGAACAATTTGAGCTCCAAGTTCGAATTAATCACTGTAAAAAAAATGAGTTTTAAGATAATTTTATCATGTTTAAGAGATCCAAACGGATCCTCCTAAATGTTCTGCTGTGTAAGTCGCAACTTCTTACTGAATCTATTAATTTAACAACATTTTTTGTGTGTGCTAAAATATTTATTTCTCCTAATTTTAATTCTATATATGCATGTTTGTATTTCTCATACTTAATTGCTTTCTGGGATTCTGAAGTCGATCGATATAGTCGTGGAACTATAGCACCATTGAGTGATGGTCTAAGAACCATTCCACATGCTTTACCCAAAGTAAAAATTTATGGAATCATACTTATTTTCTACTATTCGCATCAAATATCTTCTATTTGAATGTAATAATACACACGGTTTTATCATTTTCAGGGTCGTGCATTATCACGAGCAAAATCTAGACGCAATCTAGATTATACAGATGTTTTAGAACAACTACAAGAAAAAGGCATATCAATACGTGTTGCTTCACCTAAGCTTGTTATGGAAGAGGCTCCAGAATCGTATAAAAATGTTACTGATGTTGTAAATACATGTAAGTTGTACTGGCTCTATCAGTGATATTTTTAAAAATTAAAATGTAGATTTTTGTTAAGTACATAATTATCGATGTACTCATTATAGATCTTCATAGTGATGCGTTCGATCTTGCAAGGTATCAAGAATGGATTTGGTAATGAGGAGGTTCCACAATAAATGTTAGCTGTTCTATCCTTACTGATGGAACTGTGGCTCATTGGTTTACGGAGTTGACTTATAACCACTAGGTTACCGGTTTGAATACTGCTCAACCTACTGGGGTTTGGACAGCCAGATAGGATCACTAGCCGTTGTACAATAAGTGTGACTCATTGTCTACTGCACGAATTTGTACTAGGTTACTGAATGCATTGCAAATCAAATTCTGTTCGTAATGATAAAAATCTACAAATTGGGTGGCTTTATGCTTTATAAAATGTATCAAGTCACCTAATTACCGGTTAACATTTTGACTCCTAATTCAAATCCTGTGGCATCAGAAGTGATGTGTTGATGTATTAGATTTACATCTCATTTCAGCTGTTTCTCACTGATACCAAGACGTAACGCTTCTTTTTTAACTTCACCTTTTTAGATATTTTCTTGACTATATGACTATATAGGCTTTTGAATCCAACTATGAATCCTTGTTGTAAGCATCGGCATGCCGCGAAGGGGTGCGGTGTGCAATTTTTGAGGTCTGCTTTCCTAACCCCGTTGGGAAGGCAGCATTAGCGCCGCACTGCTGGTCGTCCAAAGGAAACACCTTAATGCTGTCACACCCCATCTAGCTAGCAGGAATACGACTTCGCCCTCAGACCTTTATCATAGTGTAGTAATTTACACTACAACGGTAACTGCTTTCCGTCTAACCACTATCCAACAGACCTTTCTGATATAATAGAACCTCGTTGGGTGATTGTGATATGCAAGCCGGACTACCACATCAAGGTAGCAGCTATCGGTCGGGAGCTATATAGACAATTTACTGCTATGAATGTCGTTATTTTGCATTGTTGTCAGCTTGTCTCCACATTGTTTCTCATATTTTTGAATGGTTTTTGCCTACCTCTAGGTCAAGCGGCTGGGATAAGCAACAAAGTATTAAAACTACGTCCGATCGGTGTAATCAAAGGCTGATCTGCATTTCCTCTACTGAGATGTCTTTCCATCCTCTTTTCTTCAGTCGGACAATCTGTACACAATACTTTTCACAGTTTTTGTTTATTTTTATGCAAGTACTACTACTATCACCGCCAACAGGTTTTTCTGCTTTGTTGTCATTTCATCTATGAACAATAAATGTGATAATTGATGGTGTGAAACACTGTGCTAAATAAAATTTTATCATTGATGTATTCGTTGTGTTTTCCGTTGGAGAATCTGGTTGGTGATTGTTTTGTTTATGCTTAGTTTTGCTGTGAAGATAAGTGATAACTTTATGAGGAAATATGACCACGTATATATATATATATATATATATATATATATATATATATATATATATATATATAATATTGCACATTTCAGAGTTTTTCTTATTGATCTGTTTGTATTACTTTTTGTGTTGCTTAATGAGAGGAGTGTGATACAGGTGTTATGATAATGAAATACATTTATGTCTCTACTGCCACTTATCTGCATTGACATACAATTGCATACAAGCAGGTTGCCACGTTTTGGTTGTACATCTGCTTGTGAGTCACATCTATTGTATAAAGGTTTGCTGTTGTACCGAACTTCTCAGGTATAAAAGAGTCATTGTCCTTTCTTGGCGTTTGAAGTTATAGGCACTGGGTTCGAGTCCCGGTGGGGACAACAACGTCACTCACCGGTGTGTAGGTACATCCAGCTGACGAGTCCCAAATGGGACGAGACGCGCATCACTAAGAATAATATAATTAGTCCCTGTCCATCAAACCACTTTATAATTAATGCTTCTCCTTCATTTACGCGCTTTTCAACAGGCCAAGAATCCAGTTTTCTCTAGTCTGTTAAGATATAGCTAGAAGTCAAAATATGTTTTGTGATTACAGTTGTAGTGACAGTCAGCCAACTTTAAAAGTTGGTCACAAGCATGCGAATCATTAGACAAATTGAATGATGATGCACTGCTTGTATATGTTCATCGATTGAAATAGTTGAACATATTGTGCACATTTTCGTTTGTTTATATGGAAAAATTCATAAATAAATTCAGTGTATTAAGTTTGAGTAGTTATGTAGACGTTTATGGCTTCTCGTAGTGTAGTGGGTGCTACTGATAAGAATGGATATAAGTAGTATATGTTGAGAGTTCAGCAGAAGTCATGGGCAATTACCAGCAATGGGTAAATGTTCTGCACAGGGAAACGTAAGAAGATACTATGAGCGTGTGAACAGCAAATCGAGACAGAAGGAGAAGACAAAATGAAACACTGCAAATCACTGTTTTAGTGGGAAGTGTACATTATGTACAAGATGTCAATAATAAATATTCCTTCCTACGTCTCAGTCTTGTTGTTTCCTACGCTACTACTACCATCACTACTTATGCGATCTCATAGATCAACATACTTCCTTCATTGTTAATATCCAAGTACATTAGTGTGAAATGTGATGAAAGTTGCTTCTGAAAGTCTCGATTATGTTCCTTAATTTTTCTGTGTTGGTTTTGAAGGGACTTTACAGAGAGAATTTTTATTTCCCTATAGGCGTCAGCTATGGTGTGCATTTTCGATTCTATATAACGGCGTCTCACATATACTCACTGATCTCAAGTGATGCAGCTGTAAATGTAACCAACCCCATCATAGGGAGATGCTAATTCGTTACACTTGTATTAGAATTTTAATTACCACTACCGAAATTTCGCCTCCAGAAATTGATGTTGACTACCGTTTTAGTCCTATCGATCACTTCACTTACATGGGGAGTTGCGTCAGTTCACCAGATGGGCTGATTGCTGATGAAATCTCAGCTCGAACACAGAAGTCCCGTTCGGCACTTACTAACTGGCGAAATATCCGACTATCTATCAGAAAATGAGTATACTGCACTATTATCTGTTCTGTCCTGTTAGGGGGCTGTGGGACATGCCGTTAAAAGTAGAGGACATAAAGCGGTTACAAGGTTTTGATCACTTATGTCTACGTAGAATTGAGGGTGTTTAGTGAAATCACCGTGTGAGCAATGTAGAGTTTGGACGAAGGATACTAGGCAAGTCGATACATGATGTTATGAACCTTTACCGACTGAGATGGCTTGAACATTTACTGCGCATTTCGAGTCACCGCCTACCTCGACGTGTAATGTTAGGGGAAGTTGGATCAGGTTGAGAGAGGCTTCAAGGTGGTCAGATGAAGACGTGGCACCAATCCATGAAATCTTTGACTGTTATTTTGAGCCGTGTTGGGAGATATAGACTGTCTGGTTAGGGTTCACGAGATAAAAGGAATCAGTGGTTGAGGACTGACTCTTGGTGACTTGGCTGGAAATCGGTCACAGTGTCGCAGACGTGTTCATTCCTTGACATCTTAAGCTTGAATAATTGCACTAACCTTTGTCTTCAAATTGTTTTTTCGGTCACACCTTGTCTACTTTGATATCACTTCCTTTCTGTCCATTTGTTGTTTGCATACTACTACTACTGTGAAGTGTGGCATCTTGAGGTGATGTACTCGTGTGCGAGGTTCTTCATTGATTTTGTTTTCCTGTTCCATCGATAGCTGCGGCTTTCATGTCGTAGTCAAGATTGTCTACCGTATCCAAATCTAGTTGTACATTCTGAAGTAGCTTTCTTATCATGCGTGAATTGGAGGCAAATATTTGTACATTTAGGAGGAGGAGTTCCTTTTCTATGAACTTTCACAGTCAATAGAATTTTGCCAAATGGAGTCTATCAAGATTCATCGTTCAAGACGGTCGTCCGTAGAATCCAGCTGAACTATAGTCTGAAGTAAGTCGTGGGATGTCAGGTATAATTCGTATCACTTGGTTTGAGACTGTCAACCGCTCCTGAAAATAAGTATTCTGGCGATCAATACTGATAATGCATCTTGATCCAAATGCTGTTCTCAGATCCTTTATATACAGTATCCTATCGTATTGAAGAGTAGTATTATGTAAACAATGTTTTAATACGAGGTCTTCAATCATATTTTGTTGCTTACATCAAAAATATTAAATGTCTGAAATTTTACTGAAATTTCTTTAACATATTCTTCTGAAGATGATGCCTATAATCGCCATATCTTATTGTTGGTACGGTTTATAAAGTCGACGTGGTATTCCTATTTAAAGAGATTATAATGTAGACATTTTTAAAGGGCTCTTTATGGAACGCCTGACAATTTTCATTTTCCTGATTCAACTTACTCTCCATTCAATCCTTTGTTGACTTATAAAATTGAATTGGTTATGAAAACCCATTTGGATATCGGAATTGGTTGTAACAGTCTTATTTCAAATGGGATATTGAGTAGAACACACCATATTGAATCAATAACTGATGAGATTGTACGCTCTCTGATTCATTGAGAGAAATTGAGTGTTATTATTAAATACAATTGTGAGATATAATCGTTTTAATTCAATGACTAAGAAGAGTTGTATGGCGCTAATCACTCTGGCTTTGTGGACACCGCTTGTGTTACCTGTTAACATCAACTTGACAATATTGAGTTTAAAAGTAGTGATTATGCTGGTTAACAGGAAAAACGGTATTCTATTTTAACTAATAATAAAGTAAGTTTTACGAAGTTTCAGAGTGATGAAATTGAGGTGTAACATTAAATCACAAAGTGTTGTGATTTGATGTATTCTGCTATAATCGATGCTGACGACGCCTAAATGATACTTTTTCTAGTCATTCAGAATGTATATCACTAGCGCGACGAAAAATAGTGGTTGAAAATGCATGATATTTGTAGACTTTTTATAACATTGACAGAAGAATAACCAAATTCATTTAAACTACGTGTTTGCCAGTTAGTAGCTCTGTCGGCTTAAGGCTTTTACTAAGTTTTACTCAACCAAATGCTGTCACTTTGGGGGTTTTTATGGGGATTTATTGCTTGATTTCAAGTTGGTATTAATCATAGACTGACATCAGTTTGGGTTTCGGGACCCCTAGACAACTGTTTCGTCCTATCATGCGACTCCTCAGCAGTACACATCCATGATCCCACGAGGGATCGAACCCAGGACCTTCAGGATCTGCGGTTAACATTGAGCCACTGGGTCGGAATCCTATGCTATCAATTAATATGGTGCTTACTGTTAAGTTGTGCAGCTCAAACCACTACAGGCGTTTATTTACGGGGTTATACACCAATAGTTTTGTGTATGCGCTTGTAAAGCTAGCCAGTTGCTAAGATTTTGATGGGCAGGGCAAGTTTCAAACACGTTACCAACTACTAGGTAGTCGAATTTCTGGTAAATCATTAAATTTCTCACTGTCCGTTGGTTCTACCCATGTGAAATAGGTGAACTTATGATTTAATATTTGCAGTAGTGGGATTAGGAAACCGTTTTCAATGGGTCTCTTTCACCTTATAGGTCAAATCTCTGGGTTTTTTAATTTATTTATCATCATTATTATTTCGTTAATTTCTAGTCATTCCTACTTCTTTCAATTGTTCTGTTTAGTTAAGCAATTGAAATCAATATGCTGTTGTTTCATATTCTAGGGTGCTAGTAAGATACTTGTTTGCATAACACCTAAATTGTTTTTTCCCCTAAAATACCTCTCCCCTTCAAAGTTCAATGGTGCATACCTTTGCTGCATTGAAAATACTGAATCTATCCATCAACTTAGCTGATATAGTGTTTATTTTGGCTTTATTTGATTTTTGATGTACTCGAGTGTTTTTTTTTTATTTGCCTTATGTAGATATGAATATACCAGACACTGATGAAGATCTTTTAGGCGTTAGTTCTGAAGAACTCGATGATATACTGCGGAGTCGTGATGCGATGATAGATAATCCAATTATTCCAGAACTTCCTCTGGATGGAAGTAAGAAGTTGGAAAAAGCTTGGTCACCAATCAATCGACTAAATTCAACTTCCGTCTACGATCGCTTGCATTTCGTATTCTCAACAGAGTGAGTTGTACTGTAACTAGGTTCTACTTGTTGTGAAAACCTTAGCGTATTCGAAATCAAATAATTTCAGCCTTTTCAGTTGGATCTCGGTAAAAGTTTCTTCAAGCGAATAAATAAATCTAAGTTTTGTCTTTTCTCGCGGAACTTATATATATAACTGGAAATTATAAGATTTTTAACTTATACCTCGAGGTTTTTAAAGAAATATTAGTTTTAAAACAAAATTTATGTAGATGTTGATGGATCTTTTGAATACACTTGTCGTCATCATTTTGAGAAATATATCTTGGCTTTCATTCTCGTGTTCATAATACCTAAAAATGTCTATCCATTACTTTGTTTCCCCATTTGCTTTGCACAAGATGTTTACATATATCCCAGACTAGAATGTACGAAATTCAGTTTTTTATGATAAACTGAATCTCATATTTCTCGCATGCGATGAGTTCATTATTGCAGCAAATAAACAAATCTCCGCATAGTATGTTGCATGTGTTTAGCCTCGAAAACATTAAGCAGAACTAAGCTCGTTCCAAAGGAGTAAAATTTAGGCACTGTGGTAGATTACAATTCCATTTTAGTCTGTTTATTAGAAATGTCAAATAGTGAATTAGTATCATTTAATGGATAACATTTGAGACATAATTTATTGCCCATTTTCATATCAGGTAACTCCACAACTTCGAGACAGTCTTTATATATTCCTAGTTTTCTCTCCTCTGTGATGACAAGGGTAGTAGAATTCTCCAAATATCTGGGACAGATGCAGAATCATTTCTATATATTACATGCATTTGGTGTTGATTCGATAAGTCAAAATTCAGTTATCAATCTCTCCCTCCACCCACCTAAGTTAGTCACTAATACTGTCACTCTATCCTACCGTACTGTGTGATTGTGTGCAATTGCGTGCAGAGCTATAGCAGGGCTTTTTTCTAAATTTATTATCGATCTATTTCTAATCTGCTAATTTTGATCTAGGTAAGGTTTTGTGTTCTGTTATTCTAATCGACCCTGGTCAACTAATTGACCCATGTATTTGACCTCACAATCATTGCAAGGGATTTGGTAAACTAGATTATTTTGCTTAATTGCATCGATAGGATCTTTGAACGTAAAAAGCTCGTTTCTAATCGAGTTTGTTGGTTTAAATACCACTGTAATCCTAGTCTGATTGAGAATTCTTCGTAATGCTTCTGAGGTGCCCTCCTTGTATGGTAACACAGCAGAGGCTTTGAATTTTCTCTCAACCCTGTCACTACTATTTCCATTAGTAGTAGAATTATTATTAATAACACCTGTACTACCACTACTGCTAATATTTTTCTTTCGGTTTCTCATGAATTTATTTATAAATTTAGGTGGGCAATTATTGAGACCCAAGGTATTCTTGATGTGTCTAATTTCTTGTCGTAGATTTTCTAGCCTACTGGTAAGCTTTTCCGCCCTATCACCTGGACATTTAACTAAGCTTACTTTAACTGAAATGGGGTGGGAGGACTTGAAGTCTAAGTGGTGATTCAAATGGGAAGGTTTCCTATAGACATTAGTCTCTAAACTTTCATCTTGTGTTCGTTTAATCTTGCAATCCAACATTGCTAGCTCACCTTCATCACTTTCTAAGTCACAGGTAAATTGGATTGGATTCATTACTGAATTTATATGTGTCAAGAAACTATTGATATGTTCCGATTTCAGTACTGTAAACGCATCATCTGCATATCGGAACCTTGTCTTTGGAGTAGGATTACATGTTTGAATGGCTATCAGTTCCCAACTATCCATAAATGTCTACGACGATAGGGGATATTGGTGAGCTGATGGCAACGCCAGTCTGTTTATATGTTATATTTTGAAACTTAAAAACTGTAGATGTTAGGCACAGTCGTACTTCTAGCATGATTTCCTCGATCGGCACCTTAGTTCGATGCGCAAGAGAAAGAGAAGCTCTCAGGAACCTTCAAAATGATACCAATATAGTAATTGCTAAATCAGATAAAGGCAACTCAACAGTTGTAATGAAAAAACCTGACTACATCTACAAAGTTCATGAACGTATAGAAACAGAACCATATGAGAAAATTAAGAAATCAGTGAATACTATTGTAACTTTAAGAAATCGATAGGGGATCTGATACGTCTGATGAAGTTTCTAGGTGAATCAAAATGGTTCAATTTGATGCTGAAAACTAATAACCCCAATGGAATGTATGGTATTATTAAGATTCATAATCCAGGTTATCCCATAAGTTCTATAGTAAATTTCAGAAACACTCCGACTTACGAGTTGTTTAAATATTCAGCAATGGTGTTAGGCCCAGTAAGAAATCACTCAAAATCTCAACTTACCAACTCTCATGACTTAAAGCACAGACTGGATGACAGTGAAAAAAGTGGTTAGTTTTGATATAACTAGCTTTAACACAAATACACTGACCGACATGGCTCTAGTAGCAGTTAGAAATCGGCTTAAGCATGATAATGAGCTTAGGTATCGAACTGAGGTGCCAATCGAGGAAATCATGGTAGGAGTACATGTTCATGCAATCCTTCAGCCACCCGTTGGCACTAAGCTATACTGTCCTAGGATTTGCTAATTATACAACTTGGCAACGGTCTTCATCAAATATTGTATGCCTCTTGTGATAATCATTGTAGACTACTATTACTAAACTGATTCTTTTTCGCGTATACCACTCGGTTCATGTTTTACTTTGCGTAAAGATCAACACTAGGCGAGTTTTTCCGTGATCTTTTCAACATGCTGCATTGAAACGTTAAGCTTTAAGTTTCTGGAATACTGTATGCAGTTTCGTTTCGCTTTGAAAAAATAATAGTGACGGCGAATCACGTTCAGGCGTGCACTGACCGACCAGAATTAAAAATGTGAAGGACAGAGTAGTTATCAAGGAAAATGGTAGTTTATTTACAATGTATTAGCCTGCTATACGTGAGAAATAAACATAACTAGATTTTAAGTAAGTTTATCTTAAAAACCATGCCATTGGTTTGCATTACTACTAATCTGTAAGAGACAATATCATTTAAGTGATATTTCGGAAATTTCCGATCACGATCCCGTTAAACGTCTAAAAACGACTGCACATATTTTCGAAGTTGTTTATGTACACTCCATTTGTTCGATCAATGAAGTGCCTTTTTGTCAGGGGTGGCCAATCCGTAACACAACTAACTTTTATAAAGTTTAAGCCTTATTTTCGCACCCTTTTGCGGCATGTTGTTTCTTATTTTCACTGCAGTTTAGGATGCTAAACGCTGATTGGTCCATTTTACACTTTGAATATGCTGTTTTGTTTTCTCTGGCCAAGGCCATCTAAGGACATAAAAACGACTGAGTTTTCACTTATTAGAATTCGGTTGGAGTGACTAAATTTTCAGTCTCATCGTCTTCTTCTGGTGTCAGCTGAATATCGAGTTGAGAAGTCATTGTTCTATCGTTAACCGTATTCGTCTCAGAGCGTTGCATCGTTATCATATAGCGTTAGATCATAACACTTTTCTGAACAATAACTGGATTGATGCAACCGATTCTGGATAAAGGCATATATGTCTGCGAAGCGTCCGTGTATATTGTGGTACCCTCTGTAACGTGTTTCTGCAAAACTTCTGGGATAGATTTTTGTGATCTCTCCCTTACCTCCTGAAAATACCCTCCCTTCGTATTTCGCTTGTAGATGCTAAGAATCTGTGGTTTGCCAAGACAGACAAATGTATGGTACATAAATTGGGTAAGTTATAATTTTCCCAATCATCTTCGTAGGTTATATTCAAGTTTTCGAACAAGATATTCATGTATTCCAATCACATTACCTTCTCCAACAAATTTTTACGTACAACCTGCAACGTATTCGTCGTCATAATTCATCAAAGGTTTGTGCAATGTCAGCAACGCGTTACATGGACGTAACGAATGGCTTGAATAAATTGTCTTCAATCTGATTGGTTGTCCTCAAAGTTTCCCGTTACTAAAATTTAGTTCTATTTATCTATTGACTTTCAGTCCGGTTTTATATGATCAAGAATTAAATGCGCTGGGTAGAAGAGCACGAAAAATTCCTGTATATATTGGTTTTTCTATTGGATCAATTACAGCTGTTATGCGTACGATTGTATGCTATCATGAATGTATAAATTCCAATCATTTGACTGTTTATCGGTCACAAATTACAGCTAAGGTTAGTATTGACTATTAAACTATTATTAAAACTTCATTTTCACTTTTTGGTTGTATTATCAAATCTTCTGATGAAATTAAACAGTCAACTACCTGTATTCATCTGCCTCACTGTAGATTGTTTAAGGTAGTATCACAAGTATTCGTAAATTAATTGACTTATAGCCTGGAACATAAATGTATGAAGCATTACTCAGTTGTACTGCAATTACTGTTTCGAAACTTTATTGTGTACATTCATATAAAACAAGAGAGAGCAGAATTAACAATTTATCCTTGGAGGTTATAATTTTCAGGGTAATATATAAAAACGATACTAAGATATTCATCAAATTTATAAACTATTAGTGTAGTTGGATAGTTTTGCAGATGGATTGTGTTTGCTGAATGTTGACTTTGGGAAACAAGAAAAGTTATAACTGTTAGTTCAGTTGGAACATTTTCTGAACTTGGCATAAATGGATTACATTTCTAATTGCCGCCTCTTTCGATACTGAGTGATCAGGCTTACTATGAACTGTAACGCGGTGCACTTGACATTCACCTTGATTAGCACTAATATCATGTTCACTATGCTGAATCTTCTGAAGTTTGAAATATCCACGATGGGCGTCATAAGGGAAATACAAACATTTAAGACTAGGAAAAGTACTATAAGGTGTCTAAATCGTGTAACGTTTGAGGTGCCAGTAGTTAAAAGGATGTATGACTTCATCGTGTGAAGGCTGCATAATTATCCTGATGCTTTATTGTCTCTACTTTATATCCGTCCGATTTTTGTGCTACTTTGATCGCTAGACAGACAAAATCAACCTCGCACAGGAGTATATCGGTTCAAGTTGTCATATTTCACAGTAGTACAAAAAGAGCAAGTGGATAGACAAAGACTGATATCAAGGTAGACAAAGGTGTATGAGGAAGAAGAAATTTAAAATCAAGGTTATTTAAGACATTCCAACTTCAGAAGAAATCAAAGAATAAATAAATTTGCATCATTGTGACTGATTTTCAGCCATTTCATCAAGACTTCGCAACCACTAATTCTTATCATCTTGGAGAATTACTGTAACCAGATAGTTCACACCTACCCACCCGCCCCAGACCAACAATCGGATACTTCATGGACTGGTGCCACGTCCTAATCTGACCACTCAAAACACTCTTTCAACCTTATCCAACTTCCCTCAGCACTACTCATCTAGGCAGGCGGTGAGTTGGCATACGCAGCACCTGCCCAAGCCACCTCAGTCGACTAAGATACACAACCTCATTGAGTGATTTGCCTTCCTTGCCTACTACCCTTCGCCTAACATTGACACTATTCACATGGTGATTCTACCATACGTGAACAATCCTCCGAAGACACCTGTGATCAAAAACTTATAACCGCTTCATATCTTCTGTTCTTGACGGCCATGTCTCACAGTCATATAAAACGACTGAATGGTTTGCAGCACAGTATTCTCGTCCTTTGATAAGAAGTCGGATATCTCGCAAGTCGGCGCCAAAGATGACGCACTTTCGCATATCCCAAACATGCCTTTTGTATCCGAGCTAAGATTTCGTCAGCAGCCATCCCATTCGGGCTGATGCAGTTCCTCATGTAAGTGGAATGGTCGACACCTCCAACCACTTCATTCTTACCAATAAGTTGGGAGTAGTTGCAGATCCGTCCTGGAGCATCATCTTACATTTGACAGGTCCCGCGAAACATACCAAACGTACTCAAATTTTTGCTCAACGCCTTTGAAATAGTCTGGATTTTATCAGCATCATCTGGCAGGACAGCATCGTCTACATACTCCAAATCAACCAGATGGTCTCCAGGGGCAGATGAATCCCTGTGAAGTCGAACATACCTAAGGTTTTCTCCATTAGTACATCTATAACGAAGTTAAACAGGAACGATGAAAGTGGATATCCGTTGTGGACACCACTAGTTGTCGCCAATTCCAATGGCAACTCTCCGTAAGCCCTGCACGGCTGAGTGAGTTCGAGTAGAGAGCTTTGATAAGCATTATGTATTTGTTAGGTACTGTCTTCACACCGCAACATCAGTTCACACAGTCAAATACCACCTTTCGGTCAAGAAATATGGCAAGTTTTGGTCACTAGCCGGTAAGTGCTTGTGCTCCAGAACATATTGGAGGATGAAAAATATGATCGGTGCACCCTCGTTCAGACCTCAAACTCACCTGGTTTTGTCGAGTCTATTGTTCTAAAGCCCCATGAACCCAAGGATTTCGGACACAATATTAGTCAAACTGATTTCTTCATAGTTGTCACAAAAAAACCTCTCTCTTTTCTTGCAGAGTGGAATGATCAGTGAAGTAGATCAGTTCGATGGGACTACCTCTGATTCCCATCCACGCCACATTAATCAGCAATTCCCCGCCCACACCCTCCCTAGGAACTTCTGGTAGCAAACCGTCAAGTCCTTCTCTCTCGCACCGTTTAATGTTGGATACAGCTTTCTCAACTTCAAGGAGAGTTTGAGGACTGACATCTACATCCCGTTCCATTAGAGACAAGATACTGGGCATCTGAAGCGCCGCTGTGAGCCGGTTGAACTATACTTCGAAGTGTTCTGCCTAACATTCTGGCCGTCTGTCCTGCTAGATTATTATATTATTTTATTATTAGTCCCTTGGGTTCCTAGTGGAACATAGGGCTTCTCGCTTTCTCCACCCACCACTGCTGGCGACCATTGCGTAGACTCCTGATAAATTTACGTTTGAGTCCCTCATTGTAGTTATAGCCAGCTAGGATCAGTCTTCTCCCATCAACCAGTCGGAATGGTGTTGCAGAGATCTAGTGATGTGTGCTAGTCTTTGGATGTATATTATTAACTGTCTTCATTTCTGTTTCTATAGCAGTCTGAATATCATGTCAGGCTTCCTCAGAATAAGCATTGGTGTCACTTTGAAACAGATGCTTAACTATCTCCTCCCCAAATATGTCCTTGGTGTTCTCATCTTTCGATCGATCGAGGCTTTACTACCGTCTATTTTCTTCAATCAGTAAAGAGTGGTATACACGAGTCCGTACTAATGCACGATTGAAGTACAAGCAGGTATTCCAGAAAGGGCGGCAATCCTCCACAGATCCTCTCCAACGATAGCTTACACAAATATGATCTATCTGTTTATATCATTGGTTTGTTATTGGTGGACGCTGTGTGAGAGTGTCCCTGCTTATACTGGCCAGAAATAAGTGATTATCTAAGCAAAATTGCAACAAACGATCACCGTTGTCGTTTGTTGCCATGAGATTCCGTAGATACCCCAAGATGCCTTTCCGATTGGCTCAGCTTCCCTACTTGAGTGTTTAAGACAGCTACCATTGTAACCACATCTGAACGTCTTGCCTTCCTTAGCAAAATGGACACCTTTTCACAGAATTCATCCTTTGCATTATCCGAACTGCAGTGGGTCCGCGCGTAGGCGATGGCTATCATGACTCGATTGTCTAGTGAATAGCGTTCTGGCATCTGAAGCTGTCGGTCCTGAGTTCGAATCCGAATGGGAACAATATCACTCACTGGAAGGCAGGCACATCCAGTTGACGAGTCGCAAATAAGAGAAAACACGCGTCCTGGATTCCACTGCTAGCCACCCCCAAGCAAATAAGTAAATAAAAGAGTTCAAAACAATTAGTTCCCTTTATAAACTTCGACAAAACAATAAGAAGACGTAAATTGTCTGAACCGTGTAATGTATTTGCGCAACACATTTCGAACTATCTGATCACACACGTACTTGTCATAGGTATTTATATAAAAACTCATGAAGATAAGGGGTGAGAAAATAAAAAGGGGTCAGGTAGGAAGGCTGACTTAAAGGCCGAATAACAATGAAAATCAATAGAGCGAAAAAATAATAGTACATCGAACTTGGTTTTTCAATAGTTGAATTTACCAAGGAAGGTTTAATGTGACAACAAATTGTTTATGAATACATAAAGGTGGTTTCAACTTCCTAATAGCTAAGGCTTCAACAAATTTCAGGATCCCTCCCCAACATGTTTTGTAAATAGGTGTAAAGGAAGTAGCCACATCAATCTTGTGACCTGTCTCAACGATATGTTTAGCGATCGAAGAACTTGGACGTCTGCTACCAACATTTATAGGTTCAGGTGATTTAATTTGCTTCTGAAGCCACTTTGGAATATGTTCCGAGGCCCTTACTTGCATGGATCTATTAGTCCTCCCTATGTATGTGTCACCACACGTACATTTGAATTGGTAGATACAATGGGATGTGACATTATCGTTCACATGCTGTGGGGGTTTGGGGGAATATAAGGGCTTCGTGGTTTCGATTACTCGAACCCTGGCTGCATAGTAAGTCCTTCTAACAGCAGCGTTAAGTCTCTGCTTAAGGATTGCACTCTGAGAGTCACCTTTGTACGGAAGGCTGATGAAGACATCCTTCTTTGGGACTGACTGCAGTTCTAGTTTTGACGCTCTGCTGATTTTGTTCTGCCTGATAAATGTTGATGGATAGTTATTTTCCAACAAAATATCGGTCAGTGTTCCTCTTTCATCTTCTAAAGTATCCTCGGTGCATATTCGTTGAATTCTGCTGAATAAGCACCTTACTAACGTTCGCTTGTACTGAACTGGGCAAAAGCTATGGTAATTCAGATATTGCCCTGTCCATGTAGGTTTTCTGTAGATAGATCGTTTTATGGATCCATCCTGCCTTCGACTAATTAATATATCTAGGAACGGCAAGCAGTCATCTTCCTCTCTTACACATGTCAAAGATATGCTGTTCTGTACTTCGTTCAGTCGGTTTAGAATTGAAGTAGCCTGATTTGAGTTTTCACAAATAATCAGGATATCGTCAACATATCTTCGATACAGATGGGCTTGGTCTATTAAGTTCTCGGCTAAGTTCTCAACGTGTGACATAAATATGTCGGCTAGGAGGGGACCTAAAGGACTTCCCATAGCGACACCATCAACCTGGCGGAAATGTTCGCCCTCAAAGGTGAATTTAATATTGTTTGTACATAAAAGTAACAGCTGTTTTAGGTGATCCAAAGTAATGGGTATCGGAAACTTATGCACAGAAATATAACCACATAAAATGTCAATTGTCTTGACCAAAGGGACATTGGTAAATAATGAGTTAACATCAAATGAACACATAAATTTACTCTTTATGTTGACATGCTCAAGGCATTTGATTACTTCAAATGTATCTTTTAAGGAATACTTACAAAATTGCTTCTTAATGGGATCCAATAACTCCACTAGCCACTGGGCAAGCTTATGCGTTGGCGACTTACACATTGACATTATGGGACGTAAGGGGTTGTTGGGTTTATGTACTTTGGGCAAACCGTAAAGATGTGGGAATCGGGATTCAGTTGGTTTCAGTAGGGCGAATTTTTGACTGGTAATGACGTTCATTTCGAGCAGTTTCACTAGATTAGCGGTCACAGTTCCCTGTAACAATTGTACGTCTTCTGAAGAACAATCCTTAGTGAATTTATTTTCATCTTCAAGAATCGATGACATTTTACACTTATATTCGATTTTATCCATGATCACGACACCTGAGCCTTTGTCAGGTCTGAGGATAATAATATCAGGGTTCTCTCAGACCCTTAAGAAACTTGAGTATTTGCCCTCAATAAGTTTTTTAACTACATTGGAAAGATGTATTTAAATCTACTTTGTGACCAGTTTCAGCCGTAGACGAAGTTGAACATCTGTTGCATGGGCCACTGGGACCATTCTAATTTGGTTCGTTGTTGCAGCCATTTTTGAATGTCCTCTGTGACCCTTACTTTTTTACCTTCTTTATTATATCGAATATTTTTTAACCTATTTATCCTGTAATGTAGTTTGAGGTTTATGGGGATTTTTATGTTTAAGGTTGTATTCATCAGTTGGGCAACGAATGACAACTTGAAAGCACTGGATATCTATAGTGCGGGAGCCCTCAGTAGTACGTATTCACAACCCTTGGGACCATTGAACTCCAATCCAATGGCTGAATGGTTAACACGTGTGCCATGAAACCTGAAGTTCCTGGATTCGACCTCTACCCCGATTCATGGATGAGTACTACTGAGGCGTGCTATACTACGATGAAACAGCTGTCCAGTGCTTCTCCCAGGTTTTCAATGATTCTCCAACTGATATCTGTCAGTGGTGAACACTGTTTATTCTTTCTTATTATTATTTATTATTAGTCCCTTGGGTTCCTAGTGGAACATAGGGCTTCAGTAGCACGCCTCCAGTGACCTCTGTTCTCTGAGATCTTTTGAACCTGGTCCCACGACAGCCCAGAAGCTCTCATTTCCTGCTCGCACGACCTCCTCCATGTCACCCTTGGACGTCCAACTCGTCGCTTCCCATGGGGATTCCACTCGAGGGCCTGACGCGTGATGTCCTCCGTCGGCCTTCTCAGTGCATGGCCAATCCATCTCCACTTCTTCCTGCATATTTGTTGCGTGATAGGTTCTTGGTTGGTTCGTTCCCAGAGTTCCTTGTTGCTTATTTTTTCTGGCCATCTGATCTTCAGCAGCGAGCGTAAGCAGTTGTTGATGAATGTCTGTAGTTTATTGGAAATACCTTTCGTGACGCGCCAAGTCTCTGAGCCATACAAGAGCACTGACTTGACGTTGGTGTTGAAAATCCGTATCTTGTTCCGCATGCTGAGTGCAGAAGATCTCCACACTGGTTTCAGGCTAATGAACGCCTGTCTTGCTTTTCCGATTCTGACTTTGACGTCCTCGTCCGTCCCGCCTGTAGTTGAAACAGTGCTTCCTAGATAAGTGAAGGAGGTTACTTCCTTCAAGTTTCTCCCGTTGACGGTGATTGGAGTTTGTTGTTGTTGTTGTTGTTGTTGATGGTGGTGGTGCGGTATCTTCATCACTTCTGTCTTCTCTATATTCACCTGAAGTCCCGTCTTCGCTGCCTCTTCTATCAACTTGTTAGTTTTTGCCTGCAGATCTTCAAGTTTATGTGACATTAGGCATAAGTCATCGGCGAAATCCAAGTCTTCTAGGTTCTTTTCCGTCGTCCAGTGTATCCCCCTCTTCTCGCTGCCTACTGTTTGCTGCATGATCCAGTCCACCACAATCAAGAATATCATGGGGGATAGTAGGCAACCTTGTTTCACTCCTGTCTTCACTTCAAAGGCATCACTGAGCTTCCCATTGTGGATTACTTGGCATGTAGCATCTTCATATAGTTGTTGAATGAGGCGGATAAAGGTTTGCGGTACTCCGTAGTATTGAAGCAGTTTCCAAATTACTTCTCGGTCGACGCTGTCAAAGGCCTTCTCAAAGTCGATGAAGTTGAGGTGGAGAGGTGATTGCCATTCTATGCTCTGTTCTATGATGATACGAAGCGTTGCAATTTGGTCTGCACATGATTTGTACTTCCTGAAGCCTGCCTGTTCCGGTCGTAGTTTTGAATCCAGTGCATCCCTTAGCCTCTCCAGGATGATGCGGCTTAATATTTTACTTGGGGTGGACAGGAGAGTGATTCCGCGCCAGTTCTTGCAAGCACTGAGGTCTCCCTTCTTCGGCAGTTTGACAAGGTAACCCTTCTTCCAATCGTCAGGTACCTTCTCTTCCTTCCACACCTTCTGCAATAGTGGTGTGAGCATGGCCGCTGTTGTCTCTGCATCTGTTCTCAGTGCTTCTGGCGGTATTCCATCTGGTCCTGCTGCTTTCCCGCATTTCAGTAGCTTTATGGCGTTCAGGACTTCCATTTTCGTTGGGGGATTAATGTTCACTTGTAGTTCAGCGGCTGCAGGTGGTATTTCTGGACGAAGTGCAGGTGGTGGTCGATTCAAGAGCTTCTTGAAGTGGTCGGCCCATCGTTTCCTCTGTTTCTCTTCTTTTGTAATTAAATTTCCTTCTTCATCTTTTATTGGTTTCATCTGTGTTGGTCTCTTCCCTGATAGCAACCTGGTTATTTGATACAATGTCGTCAGGTCTCTCTTACCTGCAGCCTGTTCTGCTTCACTTGCCAGTGTTCGTAGAAGTGTCTTTTGTCTTTGCGTGCACTCTTCTTCACTTCTTTGTCCAGTGTTTTATACATTGTGCTCAGTTCCTCTTGTCGTTGAGCATCCTTGCACTGGTTTATCTTCTGCTTCACCATCCTCCTCTCCTCTATCAGCTTCCAGGTATCCGTCGAGATCCATTCCTTGTCTTCTTTCTTCTTCCTTCCTAATACTGTTGTGCAGGTTTCTTTCCACATAGCTTTCAAAGACTTCCAGTGTTCTTCCACACAGGTTTCTTCAGGGATGTTGCTCGATGTCTCCCATTTTGTCTTGATGGCTGCCTTGAAGATCTCCTTTGTAGTTTCATCCTTCAGTTTCCGAGTGTTGTACTTGGGTTGAGGTCTATCACCAGCTTCCTTGAAGGCTTTTAACTTGATTTGGAAGGTTCCTTGCACTAGATGTGAGTGGTCTGAACCTACATCTGCTCCTCTTCTTGACCTTGTGTTAAGTAGACTGCGTCTCCATTTTCTTGAGATTGAGATAAAGTCGATTTGATTTTTAGTGTGTCCATCTGGTGAAATCCATGTCGCTTTGTGGATATCTTTGTGCCTGAACACACTGCCTCCAATCACCAAATCGTTGAATGCGCAGAATTCTGCAAACAATTCTCCATTCTCATTCATTTCACCTAGTGCCTCTCGACCCATGGTTAGTTCTCTTCCCGTGTTGTCCCCTCCCAGTTTGGCATTCATGTCGCCCATCAGAATTTTGATATCGCCAACTGACGTCTTGTCCAGTGTTGATTGAAGTTGTCTGTAGAATCCTCCTTTTTCTCTTGCTCTGCATTATTTGTAGGTGCATAACATTGTATGATTGTGACCTTTCTTCCTTTTGAGTTGAATCTTGCTGTCATGATCCTGGAGGAGATTGGTTCCCACTGCATGAGAGCCTTCGATGCTCTTGAGGACATCATGATAGCCACTCCCTCAGTGTGCTCGTGGTTGGCGTCTGGGTGACCGGAGTAGATTATTGATTCTCCAGTTGACAGTTTGGAGAGTCCACTCCCATTCCATCTGCTTTCGCAAATCCCAAGCACTTCGATGTTATACCTTCTCATCTCCTTTGCAATCTGGGCTGCCTTACTGGGTTCAAACATCGTGCGGACATTCCATGTCCCCACGTTTACTTTCGCTTTCATCGAGAGAAGACACATCGGCCAATTGGCTTCCCGAAGGCTTTCACCAACTGGCGTCATTTCGCCTCTCCGATTCCAGCGGGGAATAAGTTTGTTTTCATTTTTTATATTTTGTTTGTGCTTTGAAGTTTCTTTAGCGGTTAGATTTGTTTTACGGGGTAGGGTTGCTAGCCCTATGCCCAACCTTCCCTCTTTACCCGGGCTTAGGACCGGCTAGTAACTAGTAAACTAGTTAACCAGGCGAGGTTTTATTCTTTCTTACATTTTATATAAATGTACATAATCAGTAAGTGTGTGACCAGATTATTTGAAGTGGACTGCACTATGACGTCACACGTCGTCTCAGCTGAACTACATCTTCCTATAGTTTCGTCAAAACCTCTTGAAACACTAAGTTAATACTATGTGGAATGAACGAGTAGTTAAGTATAGTTACTCAGACTTACTCGTGTCGGAAGTATGATATGTGTGACTTCTTAGATTGATCATTGTTCCTTTAAGCTAGGGACAAGCAGTTGTCAATGTCAGTTGGCTGGAGAAGACCACGTCTAGTAAAACCGAAGGATACTATTTTGTAGAAACAAAATATCTGTTAAACCATCGTAATATTCGAATTAACCCACCCTGTATAAACTGATTGAAGTTAATATCTTATTTTTAGAACATAATAACCAGTTTATTTGTTTTTGAACATAAATTCTTCATTCATTTTCACATTGTTGTAGCGTCGTGTTTACGATCAAAGCTTTGTCAAAGGTTGCGTTTTTGGATTATCTGTCGGTTTCAGAGTGACTTTATTCACAAGTGGATGTTAGTAAGTGAATAGTTGATTTTATTTAACTTGATAACATAAAACTTATTAATAGTGATCAGTATACTTTTCATTTCTAGTGAGATAGCCATAGGTCATTACACTTTTTATATACAGCTCAGTGGTAATGTCACTAGGTCCGATTCCCAGAGGAAACATCAATTCCCTTGAGGTTGCAGATACACCCTGCTGACAAATACCAACAACATGCACGAAACCTAGTCTGAACAGGGCTTTCTGCTTATTACCTCCAACCAACTAGCATCCATCAAAGTGCACCGAGATGGCAAGTCTCCTTCTAGCTTGGTGGCCACATTCTAAAATGATCAATGCAATTAGGTGTTCCATTTAGGACTAGACAACATTTAACTGGTTGCTCTCCAGTGACTAATCAGATTCTCGAGGATATGTTCAGCAAACCGAATGGATCTCCTCTATTCAGTCCTTTGAAATGCACTTGCGGTAGCAGTTGGAGGTGACATGAGCAGGATAATCCAATTTTGACTGGTTTAGAGAGCATATAGTATTGTATACTAATAAACATTTAGCTGTAAAAAAGCTCCTTCTCAGTGCTCTTTGATTCTTGCATCTATCCACTTTTATATTGCATCTTGCTTGAACGTTAGGTATATAAAATCCGTCTTCTTTTCCACAGTTGGGTGTTTCTTTCGATCTATTCTTTTACGTACTTCCTAATAAATGTTTTAGGATATCCATTCTTTCGGATACACTTCTCAAGAAAGTTTAGTCCTTCCTCTAACTTGTTTGCAGTTCGTAATTTCCTAGTTCTATCGTAAAGTGTTTTCACTGTCCTACGCTTATGGCCGGCAGGACAGAAACTGGTATTTAAACTTCTGTTGGATCTTTGTGTTTTTTCTATGGACGGTCTTTTCACTCTTACCATCGGCTCATCTCATGTTGAGGTTGAGAAAACTTAACTCGTTTTCATGTTCATATTCCATCGTAAATTTGATGTTGAGATAAGCCTTGTTTATTTTGTCAAACAACTCACTTGCATTTTTCATATCATTGCAAACAACAGCGTCAACGTACCTGCGGTAGTAGGTTGTTCCTTTGATCACTAAACTCGCGTGCGTCTGTTCGACGTTGCCCATTGAGATATCCTCTAGGATAGATCCTAGAGGTTGACCCATGACCACTCCATCAATCTCTTTATATACCCGGTTGTTGAATTGGAACTGCACATCTTTTATCTAAAAGAGAGGTGTCTGTTTCATTTCGCCTTCTGGTAATGCCAGCATACCAGCTTGTTGGTAGATTATATCAATTGTTTCACTCACTGGTATATTTGTAGATAAAGAAGTCACAGCGTATGACACCATGAGCTTATTTAAAACGTCGACATGATCCATTTAGTGAAAAAAGTTGAATTTATCCAATAAACTTCGGATCGCTAACTTACTGTGGATGAGCTCTAACGATTTTTGTTGCATGGATTATCAATGAGTTCGTTGCTCAACTTGAGATTACTGGTTTCTTATCTAATTTTGAAACATCTTGTGTCCTAATAATAATAATAATAATAATAATAATAATAATAACAATAATAATGGTAATATGATTTGACTAAGACAGCCGTAGTTTGGCAGGCTAGTATTTGTGCTGGGTGATGATTGAAAGTGAGATGAAAATCTGAACCGCGGCCGGACTTGAACCACCGGGTTACTGGACTGATGCTCTACCGACTGACCTACGAGGTCCGACTGCTGACCAGGATTGCATTTCACTCCAATCACTAAGGGTTTTGCCCGACTGCCATGTGAATTCGGACCTCGTAGCTCAGTTGGTAGAGTACCAGGCCGGTAACCCGCTGGTTCGAATCCGGCCGCGGTCCAGATTTTCATCTCACCTTCAATCACCACCCAGTACAAATAATAGTAATACTCTATCATGAAGCTAATTAGTTGATCATTGTCAAGAGTTTAATCGAGAAAGGCGTTTTTTCTTTATTATTATTATTATTATGATTATGATTAGAAACAGTGTTATTTATGAGGACTATTAGTTTCGAATTCTATTCAACCTTCAATTGATAGTTGTAAATTAAGCCATTTTAACAGAGGCAGGTTTCTATGGTAGCCGTCTTGGTAACATTATCGAGTATATCGTTCCATTATAAATTGATAACCATATTTTTAAAAAATTGTGAAGTGAGAGGAGATTATTTATATGTTTGTATCTTCAAGTTCGCGTAACCACTTTTTAAGGTGACACTGTTTAGTTTCAACGCTGGGTGATGATTGAAGGTGAAACGAAAATTTGAACCGCAGCGAGATTTCAACAAGCGACCATCGGATTTCCAACCAACTGAGTTCCAAGACCCGACTCCTGATCAGATATTTATTTCATTTCAGTCATCAAGCGTTTTGCTCAACTGCTATGCACTAGACGTCTCATCCTGATCAAAATCTACTTGAATTACAAAGGGGGACCATTATATGGATCATCAGTTTTGATTACCTGAGATGATAGTTAAAGTTTGATCCCGCAGTTCAGTTGGTAGAGCACCGGACCAGAAACCCTAGTGGTCGTTAGTTCGAACCCTGCCATGGCCCAAATTTAAATTTCGCCTTCAGTCATCACTCAACCTAAATATATTTTTCAGAAGCATTTTACTGTTTACATTGGAAGAAGACTAGTATACATTATTCATATCACTAAGTTTATTCAATGATTACTACATAGCTGTTATCTTTTAAATGACAAACGTAGCTCACTAGTACTAAGTGTTATGTGATTCGATGGAATATTATTCAATGATATTCCAATCTTCCAAAGTGTGTTGATTAGCATGACTGAATCGACCAATCATAGCTTGAATTATGAGTTCATTATATGGATATCTCACTGTTCTCAGTAGTTCCAATGCTAATCGACCGCAAAATATGACCAAAGTTTGGTCAGTTTTAAAATGTAGACAACTATACGACGAGTCTATATGTTAACTTTATTTGATCAACTCAACCTTGGAAAAGATCACCTGATAGTTGCCGAATAAGAGGTGGGTGTTATAGTTCGGTTATTCAGTCCATAACACTTCGACATTAGAAGCCATGGGTATAAAGCTCCAGTTTTATCGGAAGATCAACATTTACTAGACCGTGGACAAGCGCAATATAAGAGAATGTGCGTCTTTAGCTCCTCTAATAAATACGATCAGTATGTGTCGGCATGTTGATTGAAGTCTTGAGTATCTAAAGCAATACTAATTTATGGAGTGTTTCTGTAATATACCCTATTCTTATACCCTTTTAAAATCTTGTTTAAATATTTTAGCACACTTCCGTTAATCTTCACTGCTATTCAGGGAAAAACAAGCTACTGGGAACACGCTGTTGCCTGGGGTATGTAAATACTATAAAAAGTATATTTTGTTTAGACTGTTGTATCTAGTAGTGTATTGCTACTTTCCGAATGTTCCGTATGATGACGGTTCTTAACGATGTTTGAAGACGTTCGCCTCTGATCTTAAGTGGTTGGAGGCAATCGGCAGAAAATCCTGCTCGACCTAGTCTTTGTACGTTTTGGCTCTAGGAAACAAGATATAACTGCAACCTTCAGGCAACTTAGGTCCCCTGTGACGTTCGAACCAGCGTCACCTAACGTTGCAATTAGAGACATTACCATTGAGCTATTATTCGAGCTGTGATTGATGATCATGCCGTGTCTCGTGACCTAGTGACCACATTGCAAAATGACCGATAGAATTCGGTCAGCACTCAGAACTAGATAACATGAAATTGTTTACTCTCCACTGGCCAACCAACGTAATTACTCCAGACCTAAAGCAGGTCAATCTCAGCCTCAACAGATTAGTGATAACGTTGTCGACTGTAGTACTGAGTGACGTGGTTTGGAATGCTAGAAGTGAAATCATTTCTTTAGAGGTTGCAGATCGGTCCTGCTGATGAGTGCCTACAAACACGAAACGTAGGTGGAGTAAAGCTTCTTGCCAATTGCCTCCATGGCTTAGCCAATATGAAAAGTAAATCAGATAGCAAGCTTCAATAACTAAAACAAAAGCTTAAGTTTTCAACCCCTGTTATTTTTCAGAAACGTATCAAGCCGATCCGATCAGCTTGGTGAATTGATGAGATTAGTGCTTCATATGTCAAAAGATTTCACAGTCAATTTGCGCTGTCTTGCAGGTCCTAAGACAGTAAGCACTCTTCTCAACAAGATCCTAGTTGAAAGTTATTTGTGCCAGATGCGAACGAATGCTACAGTAAGAAGTACAGAGGATCATAATACACATCGATGTCGTTTTGTAGCCTCTGTCGAAGTGCTAACTGGCTGCAACTCAGTAGAAATGGAGTATGGGTTTTACTGGAGACTGTCATTTTTACCCAATAAATGGTAAGTTCACATATGGTCACTATAGTAAGCGACTCAAACTTACAAGGGAAAAAATAAGTCAAGCATAAAAGGTGAGCTACCTATCTAATAATGGCCAACCACTTGATGCCACGTTTAACATAACTACTTATTTGTATTGTGTGCAACTTTCTCAGATGAAGAAAAAGTTACTAAGAGACATAGATAGTAGACAACAGTAAACGCTGCTGAATAGTCACTATAAATATTACCCTTGGACGATTGATTAAGGAAAACGGTTGCTTCTAAAGCAAACCTGGTGAAAGGCAGATTCAAACACCTGTAAATCTTTCTGTTATTTGACATTTGGAAAACTGTAAATGGAAGATGTTATTTGAACCCAACTCAAAGGTATAATTTAAAACAATTAGTCTCTGTAATATATCCCGATAACGTTATTAGAAGACGAAGACTACCTGAGAAATGTGATGTATTTGCGCAATACATTTTAAACAATCTGATCATACATTTACTTGTCTAGTCAGTTTATATTGAACCGGAGATTCGACTAATCGTCCGCTATGCCAAATATTGTCGATTTGTCAATCTTCCACACACAAATTGACGAAATGGTTACCCAAAATACTAAGTCCGATTCGCAATGTTTTATGTAAGAATTTATTTAAAGATACTTTTGAACTTGTTGGATTGTCTTGGTAATATGAATATCAGAGATAAGAAAATGTACTCTTTTGATGTCAACTTAGTCTTTACGAGTGAACCTTTAACGAAGACAGTTAATATTCTTTGCGTTTATATAACCTCGAATTATCCTTCTTTCCTTACTTCTCCGATGCATTTTAAAGAGCTACTTTTAGTATGTTCTAATAAGGTTCATTTCGCTTTTGAAGGTGAACGCTTTCGGCAAATTGATGGTGTTGCTATGGAGATTTCATTAGGACCGTTATTACCAGATGTATATGTACCACATACTAAACTTATAGCTCAGAATTTAATGCATAATGTCACATTTTATAAAGAGTATGCTGATGACATTGTAATATGTAACACAGATGTGGATGACGTTGGTTTGTTAAAAAAGCCTAATATCGTTCAAGATCATATCAGCCCTGACATGTGAGAAAGAAAATAACCATCAACTTGCATTTCTTGGTATACTCTTCTATCGGAGGGAAGACGAATCTATCAGGCTATCAATTTATAGAAAACCTACTTGGACGGGACAATATACGAGTTTCTGCAGCTTTTGTCCAATGAAATATAAGAGAGGCTTGGTAAGATGCTTATTTAATAGGATCCAACGTATTTGTCCATCTGATACAATCGATAATGAGAGCAAATTTCTGGCAGACGCACTTATGGAAAATGGATATCCATTACAATTTGTGAACCGTTGTAGAAAGCGACCAACACCGAAGCCTTACTCGGCTCCGAAGAAGGGCATATTTCTTAAAGGATCATACAGAGGGAAGCGAATAGTATGATACTGCAACAAATATTAAATTCTGTTATCAGTAAAACATACTCTGCAGCTCAGCCTATCACTGTTGAGACACCTACTTCGCCACAAATCTCAACCCCGCATAAATGATTATGTCACATCCCACTGTGTTTACCAATTTACATATATGTGTGAGCACACACAGGGAGGAGTACTCGTGAAATGCAGACTAGGGTGGGTGAACATATACATAAATGACTTGAAATACAGTTTAACACGCAAACTTTGGTAAGTGTGGTTAACAGATATCCATCTTCATCTAGAGTAAAACATATCATCGAGATGAATCATAAGGTTAATACAAAAACAGCATTCAAGATATTATATAGGAACAATCAGGGGTGCATACTGAAATTTCCCAAAGTGTTAGTCATTCGTAAATTTAACTCTTCGTTGTGTGTACAAAAACAGTTTTTTTTTCATTTAATTTACCTTGGTAATCCTTATCTGATTATATTACCAAGACTAATGTCACAACCTTTTCATATATAAGTTGACTTGGCAAGTAAATGGGTGATCAGATTTTTTGGAATGTGTTGCGCAAATACATCACATTTCTCAGATAATCTTCGTCTTTTAATAACGTTATCAAAGATGTAAAGCGAAACTTGCTAAAGAGCTGTCGAAACAGTACTGTTACTCTGTTATATCCCTGATCAGAGCCAAGATAACGAAACTTGAGGAAATACAGGTGATAGATTGAGTAGCGTTTTCATCTGGGCACTCACGCTATTTGAGCTTAATACATTCTCATCGTTCTGATCCTCTGCCCTGCAAGTAAATTGAATCCTACTTTTCCGCTGTAATCTCATTAACCAGTGACATTTTTGTCCCAATCTCCTTCATAAATCTAAACAGCTGTCTACTGTGACTGACTGCCACGACCTCTTCTATGTTTTTAGCCTTCACTGCCTGCGGTCATGATGTTGACTCTTTGTCAGCCTATATTTAAGTTGCTCCCATTCGGAGCCTGCAGGAATGGGTCACCAGTTGAATTGAGTCCTAGCAATACGCTTTAAGAAGGAGGTCCGGGATTCAGATGCACTCTTAGCCTTCAGAACGGACCTTAATGTGCTTCCCTACCAAAGGTCAAACCAAATATCAGCATTTATTCACAAAGTAGAATCTTCATGAAAACTCACATTTCTTCTTAATGTGCCCTAACTATATTAATAAACGGTTATAGGTTATAAATCTGCGACTACACAACCTTCACCTCCATACTTAAAGTCATTGTAGTTCTACAGTGATATATGTCCCTTCATGAATCTATCAGGATAAGCATTTTTAACTAAAATCTCATGCAGAAATGCCTTAATGACAGCTGTCAGGAAGCAAGAAACCGAGGTCGAGTAAGGCTTCCTACCGATTGCCTCCAACCAACTGACATTTCCATGTAATGTCTTCAACCGCGTCCTTTGAACATATCCCATTTACTTCGTAATATAGGTACTTTCACCAGGTCTGTTTTGTACTAGATAGGTATTAACTTAGCTGTGTTCTTAAATTGCCTTTTTGCAGAGCTTTTCTGACAAAAATTTCCCCATTAAACACTAACTAGAAGGATTCTTTTGCCTTCACGCTCTTCCTCTAATGTGAACTTTCCTTATTTTACATTATGAAATCTATACCTTTGAAAGTCGAGTCCCAGTCATTTCACATTCTAAGCATTACTATCAATAAAATCATGACTAAAATAACAATAACAAACGATAATCTTTGACACTCCTCTGAAATAAATCACTAAATTGGTTGTGAGAGTCAACGACGACTAATATTAATCAAGTAATCTACAAAAATGTACAAACTGGGATAACTTAACCAAATCATTAACCGGATCTACTTGAACTCAAGCATCCACATAAGCCCTTGTGTGTCATGCTAAATGACGACAACTAGTGGTATCTGCCAGGGATGCCCACTGTCACCATTCCTGTTTTACTTTGCTATAGACGTACTAATAGACATAACCTCAGGTGCACCTGACTTTACGGGGATTAGTCTACTCCCCAGAGGGTATCTGGTTGCTTTGCAGTATGCAGACGATATTGTCCTGTTAGGTGAAGACTGACAAAACCCAGGGTCTTCGGGAAATGTTCAGTAGAAATTTGAGTGTTTGACTGAGAGGCGTGCCCCACCTATCAGGACTGTTATACAACCACTCCCAGTTTAATGATAGGGAGTAAAGTGTTCGAATGTATCGACCACATCACTTACTTGGGGAATCGCATCACCCCGAACCGGCTGGATTGCCGACGAAATCTCACCTCGGGTACAGAAGGCTTGTCTACAATTTACCAACTTCCATCATTTGTGATGCCGACTGGCGAGACACCCAACTATCTATCAAAGGACGAGTATATTGCACTGCAGTCTGTTCCTTCTTGCGAAACACAGCCGTCAAAAGTGGAAGACAAAGTGGCCACGGAGTTTTGTTCACCGATGTCTTCGTAACATTCTTCGCGTTTAGTGAAATCATCGTTTAAGGAAAGTTGGGGTCAGGCGAAAGGTACTAGGCAAAATAGCCAAGCCGATTGATAAGACTATGAAGCTTCGTCGTCTGAGGTGGCTCGGATATGTGTGGTGCTAGCCAAAGTTGGATTAGTTCGGAGGAGGGTTCAGATGTAGAATGCCTGGTTGGGATCACCGAGACGAAAGGAATCAGTGGTTGAGGACACTTGGTAACATGGCTGAACATCAGTGACAATGGCCCAGGTGTATTAATTGCTTGAGATCTTCTAAAGCTTGAATATTCACACTAACCTTTATCTTCAGATTGTTTATTCTCTCACACTTTGTCCACTTCGATTTCTATCTTCTTCTATCCACCTGTTCTTTGTGTACTACTGGGAAGTGAAGTGTGGCAACTTGAACCGATTCACTTGTGTGCTAGGTTCTACGTTGATTCCGTCTGTCATTGTAGAAGTCGATCAAGAAGATAACGGTAGGCAATCAGTCACATGATTATATACTAACGAGTGATGATGTAATAAGTATGAGTATGTAGGTAATAGGTTTCTGGTACTTTGATAGGTTGATAGGCTTAAAACTAAAAAAATGGATAGAACATTAAAAATAGATATCGGTTTTATTCATTGGATGTGAACTTCTTTAATTTCACAAAATCCTGTATCCGGCTGACGTTTTTGTCGTCTTTGTATATTCAACGGATTTAATACAATGTGAATTTTCAAACCTTCACCATCATTCGCATATAAACTGGATTATCTTTGCGAGGTTGAACAATTTATGCTAATCATTTAATCTAAAACCACTTCCTGAAAGTTGTTCAACTTTTTATTATTCTTCTAAAATAGATATCTTATTTTCTTCACACTTCATACAACTGAGCAATAATCATGCCTATTGTTAAGAAAAAACCAGAATTTTATTGTTGGAAATTTTTTTGAAACTGGTTTTCGTTAATCACCTTTTCTTTTTCCTAATCTATAAATTTTCATTTTCTTCCCTAGGAATTACGAGTTCATTGTATTGCTTTAATCGTGGACTTAAACGAATGCTTGTAGCAGGAGTAATTGGTGCAGTACCCGGTTTAATTTATGGTTTGTCTTATCTGTTTGCAGCTCGAGTGTCAGATTTAACTTTTGAAAAACTACTAGCAAAACAATTAGCTACCACTTATAGGAGTCGATTATAACATGTACATTTCTATCTGTTTATTCTTTATTTATTTTTCACTTTAATACATCATAGTTTTATGGTAGTTTAAAAATACGTTCTTGCCGTATACAGTAACATTCCTTCATGTAGATCATTCACAGCATTTCATTCAGAATGTTGAACAACTTTACCTGTAGACATGTAATGTATAATTTTATCTTGAATGATTCTTTTTGCTACTAAAGGATCAAACCAAAAAGCATTCAAAGTTATAAATTCTCCCAGCACTACTGTTCTAAACTTTATTCTAAAGTTGATCGCTGATATCTTCAATGTTTGACCCATCTTTACACCTTATCCTTTTAGCAAAAAGTGACTTATTGTCTGATGAGACGTTTCATTTCATATATATCATTTAGATTTCCGAGTGAATGGTCTTTTATATATTGTAGTTAAGTTAAGAAAAAGGTTAATTTGTAAATGACTTACAAATTAGACGGTCCACGTTAAAATATCTCACAGCTAAGTAGTCTTTTAACTGCCCAGTTGTGTTCATCAACAGACTTTGAGTTTGAAACCACCCAGCCAAGATTAAAAGGTATGATCTGTGATAAAAATATGTTATAAACTAGCGAATGATACTACCACTGAACAACTTGAGCAGTGAGGAATCACTTAGACCGATTTGTAGATTTCGCCAGGCAGATCGAAGTGAGGTAAACTACTCAAGTTGTTCATTAATAGCACCTTTCACTATTTCATAACACTTTTGTGTCGGAGACCACACTTTATTTTCTTGACTGGACGGTTTCCAGCGGAAACGTTGTTCATATCACAGTTGTGCAGTTAGAAGACTACTCAGCTGTGAGAAGGGTCAATGTGGACCATGAAATTGCCTAATCATTTGCAAATTGATAATTCTATTGTTGATACACCGGTCCATGCAAGTCAGAAAGCCAGATTTAGGTAATCTAAACTGATTCCGCTCTTTGAGCTGAATTTGTCCCGCTACACCGCTGACAACCCCGACCCCAAACGATCGAAACGGCTGTACGGTGTTTAGTTCACTCTGATCTGGCTGACGAAGTACGACAGATTACCTTGAGTGATTTCTAATTACTCAACTTGTTCAGTAATAGTATCTTCAGACAAAGGTTGTTTGAAAAATCCGAAATTTACTCATAAGCTGTTTAAAGTTGACTGATATAAAATTTGATGTTAGTCAGTTTGAAAGAAAGAGTTATGCAGTTCATCACAAGTGTGTTAGTAGGTGTTATTGCAACTGGTACGTCTTGTAAGTTTACGATAGTGTTAAAAGAGGTGAACCTCATCTTGCAGTTTAATGCCGAGACAGGCGAAAGCAGGCCTTTCGTTAGATTTCCTGTGGATTTACGTATAGGTGCATTTATTGCTTAAGAATTGCTGCGTTTCGTCATAGAGATCAGGAGTTCGGCTGATGCTAAGTTCACATAGATGACATTACCGCTAAATAAGACCTATCCAACTAAATCTAAATTTACTATTTGTTAATATGCTTGTGATTCTCCGCTGTTTTACTGGGGTGCAGGTACACCCAGCTGACAAGTTCTAAGTAGGACGAAACAGGCGTCCTGGATTACTCTACTAGCCACAACCAAGTAAATCTAAAATTATTGAACTAGATAGGAATGTTATGCAACTTCTATCCCATCACCTAAAAAAAATCACCGCTGCGCGAACTTCCAACTCAACTAGAGAAGTTTGGTTTTGCCACTCGGGAAACAGTAATGCAAGTTTGCAGTTGTCGGTATGGATTCTACGTACAACACTTCAAAAGAAGGGTATGTACCCAAAACTATTGATTGTTATTTAGCCACCCGCTTTATAAATTGGTTAACACGGATGGTCTCTACCGCAGCTTCCTTGTGACTTACAGTATAACTCACCGAGAATGCCCAATGGATACTGAGGATGCGTTGGGGTTTTTCCAAACCATTATGGGCGACACATCACGAACTGTGACGTTTGTCGTCGACAACAGTGCAGTGGAGCTATTCACAGTCAATTCCCAAACTGATCCATTGTTATATCCTTTTCATGCTATGCTCTCTTTTAACGATAAAGTAAGTCATATACCCTAGATTACAAGACAAATAACAGAGTTGAATGTTTAGCCATATGCACTTGAAGAAACATCTGCGCAAATTTCTTCCCCTCGAGTTGAGCATTCGGGAAATTTTGAAATGCTGCATCGAACCATATTCCCGGAAGGCCAATGAAGAAAATCGCAGTTTGTACTACTACATGGAGTTGGATGCAAGTGCATTATTTCGCTCTCTGCAATTACGGGTGAACGACATCACCTCTTGTGTGTTGCGTTTTTTTAGCGAATTACACAGCATATTATGTGTAGAAAACTATGCTGACGCATGGCGAAATGCCGGTGGTTGAATCTACAGCCCTGCGTAATGTTTCAAGAAGAACATAAGTACTACGAAGCCGACAAATATGTTTACGAACACTCATTGTAGACCAGCACAATTATGCTGTCCTATTATCATTTGCTTCATGTGCACAGATTTCTTTCCCATAGTTTTGGTAAGTCTTCTGAGACGTTAATTTACCTCTCTGTAGATGTATCCCGACAGTCTACATGGTGGTTACGAGACTACAAACGCACATCTATTGATCATAACCAGAGGACTGTAGATATTAGAGAAATGCGAATGCTCACTTTGGGAACGATGTATGAAATGCAGCTATTGGCTCATGATAACCCGGAAAGAGCACGTAAACTGTTGTCAGACATATACGGTAGGGTTTATGGGGATCGCCACTTCAAGACTAAGCTTCAGTAACCTCATAATCTATTGAGTACTTCTAACTACTGATCCACACTTTGTTCCATTCGTTAAAAAAATTTTCAGTACATTTTGTCACGTATTTCTTTTTCTTTTGTTCACTGAAGCGGAAAGTACAACGGGTATTAGTGATAAGTAAGAGCGGGAGGATTTGTGTTACTGTACTATGGCCAGCGGGTACGGGCATTTAAGTAACAACTTTCGAGGCACGCTCCGTCAACCGAATTCTGATCAGTCAAGTAGTACCACTAGCCTCTACACAGTAGATGTGCTTTCTAAACTAAGTAACTACGTCACTTCTAAGGTCGATGGTGTAAAACCCGACAAGTAAGAAAACCCTCGGTATCTGCTTCAATTATACATCTGTCCTTCTGTATGATAATGATTCCCCCTAAGTTTTCCCTTTTGCCAAGTAAGCATTAGTCGCACTTCCTCTAAACATACGCCGACACCAAAATCCCAAGGGTCGATTACTTACCACTTACATTTGTTGTACTCCACGTATACAGCCTAATGACACTTAAAGAAGCACTCGCAAATTATTTAAAAATTTATTTCCACAAAAGCAACATTCTGTACAAAAACATGCAATATTATAAATATCTGGTATTAACGTTAGGTTCAAACATAAATTGCTTTACAACAGAATGATCGTCTGCGTTTGGCATGCTACTCCTTTGAAGCATGGGCTCCATATGCTTGCATTATATCAAAACCCACGACTACCTATTCAATTATAGAACAGAAGTTATAATGATTACTAATATTTATTTAAAAAACCGAATACACCCATTTGATCATAGGACAAGACAAGACGAATAATAAATTACAGTAACACACCACTTTTACAAGCAACATCTGAATGATGTTTTCAGTGAAGCGGTGGTTGTTGCAGGTGACCTCAACGCACAGATGGGTAGACTGAGTGAGGCAGAAAGGCACTTAGGTGGCACTTTCGGAATCCCAGCTGAACGTACAGATAACGGTGATCGCCTATTACAACTATGCTCAGATAATCGCCTATTTTTAGCCAGCACCAATTTCAGACATAAAGAAAGGCACTGTCTGACCTGGCGTCCACCGAGCTCAACTCAGCGATGGACGAAGATAGACCACATTGCTACTAGTCATCTCTGGAGAGGATTAGTGGAAGACTGCAGCTCCTTCTGGAGTACGTGTTTGGACAGCGATCATGCGTTGGTCCGAGCACGTATATGCCTGCATCTCAGTGGACGTAGAAAACATTTGGCCACAAAACCACTACGAGTGCTGTTGGAAAACGGAAACACCAAAGCTGTGTTCAGTGAGGAGTTGGCTAGGCAGTTATCGGAACAAAATATTGTCACTCATCCAGAAGAAGCTTGGTGCCTTCTTCAGTCTGCTGTAAAAGCAGCACTCGAGACTGTAACCGACTCCAAAATAGTGGCTAAAAAGAGCCAGTGGATATCAGCAGCTTCTTCCGAACTAATGGATGCACGTGAAGGCTGAGGTGGGTCCAGGCTGGAAAAAGGCTCGAGGTGGCCAGACTAAAACATGGCACCAATCTATGAAGTCTCTCACTGTTCGTTTAAGCCATGTAGGACGATGCAGACTAGGTGTTTGGGGTCCACGGGACAAGAGGAACCAGTGGTTGGAGACCCTAGGTGATATGGCTCAGGACCGAAGTCAATGGCGCAGACGTATACACACATTATCCTCATCTTAACAACGCTATACCGAATCTCACCATTTTGTCGCTCCTCTTTCCTTTCTTCTCATGCTTTATATTTCTTTTGACTGCATTCACTTATCTTCATCCTTCACCTCACTACCTTTTTACTTGATGTGCTGATATGAGGTGTGGCAACTGGGACCGTTAGGCAGTAATGCCTGGTCCCATTTTGATGATGATGATGACTATTTGCAAGTGATGTAAAATCTTTCTTTCAGACTGAGGATTTCCACTACCTGGAATGAAAAAGAGATGGTTAAAAACATTACCAAGGATTTTCCACCAATGAATCTTATGACAGTATCTGTAGAAATGATATTCACCTGTAAATTCAGGAATAACTTATAATTATTTCTATTAGCAAGACTGCACACAAGAGCCTTACACATGACAACACGCATAAACTCAGATGCATGTTACAAAACACAGAAGTGAAAGTACTTCAAAATGATGCTCTGGATGACACGGTTGATGCTGTAGTGCACCTTTCTGGCACCAAAATACAGCTAGGGCTAAAATAAACAGACTAAATTAAATTAACTAAATAAACCTCTGGATGCTTAAGGTGTTTTGAGTTTTGTTTTAACGAGCATGCATCCGGGCAGGCTTGGACGCCATTTTGCGCCTCCTTAGTGCTGGTTAGCTCGCACGTACTCAGAGTCCGTAGCTCAGCCATACTAGCCAGATAAGTCGAATAAACTTTCCCTCATTTATTACTATCACATTTATTCTAATTAAATACATTACTTCTTCAAATATATTTCCAAACCAGTCCTTTTTGACTTGCGTTTCGTTATCAGTACCTACGCGTTAGGTAAAATACTGGTTAAGCAGGCATTAGAGTACATCAAGTTAAGTAGGTTTGGCCTGACGTTA